GAAGCAATTATGAAATTTGGAACTTTGGAACTTTGTAGCTAAAATTAAAAATCCAAAGTTTAAAATCTTCATATTATTGAAATTTGAACATCAAATACTAACTGTAAAATTACACAATATAATGCACTATGGCATATTGGCATTATCATTCTAATTGCAAACATTCAATTTTTAGGATTTTTGAAAATATTATTTTATGCTTGACTTTCTTGAATGAGACAATATGTAACTTTGGAAATTTGCAAATTCAGAACTAAAATCACAAATCCAATGTTCTAAATATTTATGCAACTGAATTTTACTCCTAAAACACCAATTGTAAAATTACAAAATGTTTTGTACATATAGTTATTGGCATCACCATTTTACTTACAAAAATTAAATTTATTAGGATTTATAAAATTATTATTTTACTCATAACTTGCAAAATGTCAATTGTTTAGACATTAGATTATTGAGTATTTACCATAATATCTAAATCTCAAACATTTGGAAATTTAAACGGCGGGAATATACACTGACCATGCTGACCTGCCACACTACATACTGATGATAATTGACAAAAGGTAGCATTTGGCTGATTATTATATTCATCATTATAATAAAAAACTATCACCTTGTGTGTATTCTATTAGAGAAGTATTGTTTCCAAAAAACTAGTAACTTTTTGCCTTGGGCAAAATTTTATTATTATAGCTAGAGCACAGGAAATTGGATTTTTTTACTATAAAGATAAATTTAACTATCCAACATAAAGTACTTTTGTCGATCACAGTGATAGCACTCACCAGAGTCACCGCTGTGTTATACTACATGTAGCATAAGTTTAGGAATGAAATTGCATTGGGAGAGTAATCCCATTAGTCATGCATACATTAAAATGAATGTCAAGCTTTTAAACGTCAAATAGACTTTAGTTAAAAATTTTATTGGGGGGGGGCAGCCTCAAAGCCTAGCTATAAACTGATTCCAATCAAAAGTTGTTATATTTTAATAAGTAATAATTTTTTGAAAAAGATCAAATTAGTCTCTTTTACAAAAAATTGCACGAAAATCACCCCAAGTGTCCTTATGTTACATAAAAAGTTAGAGCTACTTTTAATTAATAACTTTTGAGTTATGAGCATTTAAGAATAAGCCAAGTTTTGGAAAAGCAAAATAATTTACTTTAAGAGATTATTTTGGTAATTTGAAAAACTATAGTTTTTGCTTTTTTCCAATTATGGGCTCAAAACCACCCTTATTTTTTCTGATACCTAATTAATGTCCTTATATGATAGAAATTCATACAAGCATTGGGGGGAGCAATCCCACTAGCCATGGGAAAACATTCCTACATCCTTGCTGTAGCATTTTAAAACTATAGAGTCACATGTAATTGATGCTTACTACATTTTAGATTAGCAAAAAATTGTTTTATGATACTGGTGGCACAATAGGATCTATGTTTTTGATAAGCTAAATTAAGACTCAATTGGCTCAATCTAGTTTGCCATTGAGTATTCACCCACAATGTCATTGGGTCCATTCGCTAAAAAATGCTTATTCTGCTATTTTAAGTAAGTCATTCAGCACAAAATTTGAACAGATTTGAGCCAATATAGTACATTACATTTTTATAAGGTGATAATTTCAGCACTGAATTGTTAATACATTGGTACTTACTATCTTTGCTTTAACTCTTGAGTCTGGATTCATCTCATCATGTCACTATAAAGACTCCTGTAGAATAGCAAGAACCAATAATACTCAACAGTTACATTACTCTTTGACCCTTTGAAGGCATAAAAACAGCAGAGTATTGTTTTGGCATGTCCTTTTGAGGGCATGCCAAAATTCACAGAATTTTGATATACTGTATAGCACATGTTCTAGCTTGCACTGAATAATAATTTTGAACTTAATCCAATAAAAATCACATTTTTAAAGTTACTACTCCAAAACCAAGCCAAAGACCTTGAACCAGTGATTTTTGTGGTATGTTAATTTCCATTATTTTTGTGCTCACTTTAAATCCACAAAGTTTAAACTACCTCCAATGTTACTCTTTTGTATTGACTATGATTACAAAACTAGCTGATACAAATATAAATTTTTAAGCACATATCATTAAATTGTGAAACTTTAGATGCTAAAAATATGATGGTCTTTGACCAAATTTTGCCAAATAAGACTAATTATGAGATAATTCTTCTTTTTAATCATTTTTTGATACAAATGCATTTTATATTGTGTAGTAAGTTTGAGCTGATTCCATCAAAACTTGGATTCTACAATTTTTTTACACAGTTACGCCAAAGTCCCTGTATTTTGCGCAGGGTTTTTGTCAAAGTTTCATCAAAAAGATTAGAAAAGAATTCTTAATTTTAAAACAATTGTTTAATCCATATGCATGTGAGTATGACCTGATTCTAATATCAATTGGACTTTTAAAAATTTTTGAAGTTACTCAAAAAGCCAAATACATGTCTATTTTAGTCATGAAGCTTTTTAGCTCATTTAGCATGCCTGGTATAATGTAGTTAGTGATTAAATTTTGGTGAATTGCTAAATTTTTGATGATTGGTGGGTTGCAATTTGTGGCCATTTGCCATTGATTATGTACATAAATAGTGGAAACGATGACTATCAAAAATGCCGCCACAATTGCCAATATTTCCCCCTCTAAAATTACCAGTTATACGATGGTGGCAATTCAAAATTTTGAGAGAAATCATTGTAAATAGTAAACTTGTTCAAATGCATAAGAATCCCTTAATCCCTCCCTATAGTGTGAGATATTATCCTACCTTCTATTATTTCTTCCGATGTTGCTTACTGTATTCAGGCCATTGTGTTAGTTTCTTGACAGACTTTATCTTTACCAATGATTCAAGTGACTGTAATATTAATGCTATATAATTGTTAATAATTACGATTAGGCCATTATACTGTATAGCTCCAAATTTTTGTCCGAAGTCAAAGTTAATTTTTGTCAAATTTGTTAGTCAACTTTGTTTGGCAAAATTTTTGACACACCAAATTTTTGCTTCACATGGGTAGCATGTGAATTTATAACAGAAATGACAAAAATGTAATCAATAAACTAATTTTGAAATAAAACTTAAGATTTTGACGAAATTTTTGACTGACAAAATTTGGTGCTATATATCGTATAGGGGTACATTTCCTGGGGAAAATAATTCACGGAAATGAGTATTCACAAGGAAAATTTTTTGCGTTTTCTTCTACTGACTATTTTTAGTATGATAAAAATAATTTTCAATAGTAAAAATTTTCATGAATTTTTAAAATCCTTGTGAAATATACCCTCTATACCGTGGTATACTGCTTATATTAATGTACGCAGTCAGAACCTGCTGAGGAGTAATTAGGTTAGTCAGGCTCTGCCTGAGTAGAATTAAGTAAGAAGAGCCTGACTAGACTTAGGTAAGGAGTACACAAAGCATGGCAAACGTTAAGCGGGCTACACTTGCAGGTATGCAGATTGTGTACATTTAATCTTACTAGTTTTATTGCCCAATTTGCCTGCAGCTATTTTACCCAACTGAGCGGCACTGACCCAGCTCCGAGCATTAATACACATGAGCACAGCCCTATACGTACATCAGTATCAAGAAACTTCTCTCAAAACTCAATATAAGTGTGCAATTGTCAACAGTCAATGATGAACTCATTGAACTGATGAGCTTATCACGCCCACATAGACTAGATAAAGCCGGATATTAGCACGATGTCGAGGTGGAACAACAACTGGAGGTGCAAGTATCTCTTTATTTTCTTTCTTTCTTCTCTACGTCTTCTGTCCAACTATTGTGTTTTAATGCCCAATGGAATAGAAGACACCATTATTAAAGTGATGGGAGTCACTACTGCAGAGTATGATCTACTTTTCTCCGCTACTGCATGGCCTAACATATTCCTTTGTTTAGTAGGAGGAATACTAATAGACGGGTTAATAGGATTGAGACTTGGACTACTCATTGTGGTTAATTGTGTACTATTGGGTCAGATTGTATGGGCTATAGGAGGACTTGTTGATAACTACTTTATTATGCTGGCTGGACGATTCTTACTTGGAGCTGGAAATGAGTTAGTGGTTGTTATTGATAATGGATTTAAAGCAATCTGGTTTAAAGAGGACCTATCACTTGCCATTTCAATTGATATTGGATTCAGTAGAATAGGTGGAACATTAGCTATACTTCTTCCTCAGTTAATATATGACAATCTCACAATATTACGTAGTCCTACTTTTAGACTAGGAGTCACACTGCTTACTGCTGCTGGATTAATGATAATCGGGCTAACATTCTCCTTATTAATTTTCTTCATGGACTACAAACGAGAGAAACAAGTTGAAAAATCACCTAAATCAATTACAGGTCATAAATCTAGCATTCTAAGTAATGTGAAGCAGTTTTCAGTACTATTTTGGTTGAGTACAGCTATTAATTTAGCCTATTTTCCAGTCTTGCATTCGATTGTTGGAAATGGCCAGGATTTTTTTGTACAGAAATATGGCCTTTCAATTGAAATGGCAAATTTAGCCAATAGTTTGTTGTTTGGTGGAGCAATCATATTCATACCAATTGCTGGGTTTCTTACAACTAAAATTGGCTTTCGTTTGTATTGGTTGCTGTCATCACTTATAGTAACAACTCTCCCACCTTTATTATTATTTATGTTCAGTAATGGAGACAGTTACATTCCATTCGTAGCAGGAATGTTGTACTCTCTCTCGTATTCTATTATTGGGCCGTCACTCACAACTCTGCCAGCTTTTATAATAAATAAGGAATTTATCACTACAGCTTATGGTATTCAGAAGAGTCTTTTTAATGCTTCCTTTTCTTTAATGGCATATGTTACTGGTCTAACTATTGATACTCTTGGTTACTTTGTTTTGCAGGGATTATTCACACATTGTATTATCTTTTGCATTGATTTGGCATTAATTATGATCTTTATTGATGTTGCTTCTAAAAATCCAAAGCTCAACATTTCTGGACTGTGGCTCCGTAGAAATAAAGAATCTACTAGTTAATTATTAATAAAATAAGATTGTATTTCTACTATTATTTTTTAGCATTATTATTATTCACTTTTGATTTAATTATGTTTTTCTCATAATACCGGTAATAATAGATTGTAGATGTACTGGTACCAGAAGAAATAAACCAGTCTTATTACTGCGAAACAATTATGAGTTCATCGTGGCAAAGGAAAAAACAATAAACTTATGCAAAACTTAAGCAATAATGAGAGCATAAGAGCATGAACTGACAAGTCAAATTACAGGGATTTGGACAAAGAAAGCGACTGAGTGATGACAAGCATTATATAACTTCTCTGAAAACACTCAAATACAAGTAACAATGATTTGTAGCTCATTACATTGCCATTACTTATTCATTTCACTTTGAATAAATCTGTTTCAAGGCAATATTATCTCAAAATTCACCATTACATTGAGATCCATTATCAATAAAAAGGAAAATTGGGAAAAACATTTATTGCTTTAAATAGGCCAAAAAGCGCAAAGTACCACTGTTGAATTTAGAGGAGAAAACTTTACCAAATTTGGAATTTATTCACCAAAATAAAACCAAACAATTATGCATCCTCAATACATAAATAAAATTTAGCAATTCGCTTCCCAGAGGATTTTGTAATAGTGCTCAGCTCAATTTTAAGCAAATTCAAAAAATTCTGTATTGGTACTATGTCAAATTTTTATCAAGCTTAGCATGGATAAAATTCCTATTATATATTCTCATTTTTATATGTTGTGTAGAAATTTAATTAATTCAGATCAGAAACTGAATATTTATTATTAAATTTTCAAAATTTGCTCAGTAAACAGTGCTCTACACACAGTCTTGGGCAAAACTTCACTGAAATTAAAAAAAGAGAAAAATTTTAATTTTAATATTAATATTTTTTCTGATGCTTATACATGTACATGTTTTAATGCTATGTAGCAAGTTTGATATGATTCCAATGAAAATTGGATTTTTTACAAATTTTTAAAGTTACTCAAAAATCTGGCCAAAGTTCCTGTCCCTGCAGTGCATCGAAGATGAAAAGAAGTGAATTTTTCAATTTTAATAATTTTTTCAGATACACATATACATGTTCTTACATGCATGTTGTGGAGGAAGTTGGAGCTAATTGTTATAAAATTGGATTAATAATTTTTTAAGTTGCTCAGAAATTGAGCCAACCAAAGGCCTTTGGTATTTGGTCAAAAATGACTGGGAAAGAATTCTTCAATTTGATGATTTTTTAATGTTTTAATGCTGTGCAGAAGGTTTAAGCTGATTCAGAGCAGTCTATAAATGTCACCAAAATTGCATGAAAAAAGACAATTCTTTATTAATTTTTATATTTTTTTATACATAGCTATATATACATGTTTTGTTTATGCTGTGTATCAAGTTTAAGCTGATTCCAATCAAAATTGGATTTTAAAATTTTAAGTTTTTCAAAAATTAGGCCAAAGTCCTTTAGCCTAATTTTTCACAAATAAGAAGAAGAGAAGTCCTTATGTTACGTAGAAAGTTTGAGCTGAGTCAGATCAAATTTGGATTTTTTACAAATTTTTTAAGTTGCTCCAAACTTGGATAAAACTTCCTGTATTATATTAAGTATTACTGTAGTTGAGATGTTTTCTTAAATAAAGTGGACTTGATATTAAGTATAGTTTACCCTTGAGAGTACTCATTTAAATGTTAGTCTACATTATCATAGTGACTACAGTAAATATAAGACTTAGTGTTCAAGTGGATACATGCTATATACATGTGTTTAGTAGTTTCATATTCATTCAATTTACCTTTTTTGTACCTGCACGAGTGTACCCTAGATATTATTTATTGATTAAAACTCAATTTTTTGTTGTTATAAAAGTACATCCATACAATTTCAAATTGATTACAATCAGTTTAAGCTTTCTACATGTTTGTGTCAAGCAGCTTGCATGCATCATTGTGCCATGTATTACGACAGAGATATAATAGACTACCCAGCCAAGAATTTTCATGCCTAATCCAGGACTATTGCCCAAAATTACTGGATCAAGCCTGACTCCATCATTGCTGAATCATTAAAGTCGGTCTGGCCTGATCCAGTGTAGATGCTTATCATGCCTGAATTGTGGCTGACTTCACGATTGTATCAGGACTGATTGCCCAAAATCCATGGTCCATGTCTGATATCAGGACTGCATGATTTAGTCCTGATCCACGTGCCAGCTCTTGGCTGTGTATGTAACAAAAAATAAAACTACAGATTCAAATTGCATCCTCCAATTAAAAATTTGAACACATATAAAGTGACTGACTTGGCATGATGTTCATGACAATTTGGTAGGATTTTAAAGATTTCAGCAAGATTTTATCCTGATATAGTTAACCAAGCCAAACTAGATTCTATGTCCTTTATTTATTAATTTTTTTAAACATGTACTTGGCATTTCATCACTATATGACATGTTAAAATTTGATTTTTACTTTTGAAAGATTAGTATGAAGTGAATTATGCAATAATTATACTGAAAATTACCTGGTAACGCCTCCACACGAAATTATGCTTTATATAACCAGAAAAATTTTTGCGTGAGTGATTCTGATCTGAGTGAAGCGGGCATCTATAGATATGGAGTTGAAGCACCAGTTGGAAGATGAAGAAGTCCCCGTTGCCGTGATTGGTGGTGGTATAGTGGGCCCAGTAATGGCATACATATTGGGAGAGCGCGGTATCAGAGTTCATTTATATGAGTCGAGAAACAAAGGCCTAAATGGAAGTCTGGGCAGAGCAATAAACTTTTCTCTCTCCAACCGCGGAATAGACGCACTGGTACGAATGGGTATCTCCGATAAAGTGCTAAAAGAGGCAGCTCCATACTATGGTAGATGCATACATTTGCCTAATAGCGGGGGTGAGACTAAAGTGGAGTTTTACCTTGGCAATGAAAAGAAAGAAGCAATACACTCCATAAATAGGAGACTATTGAGTGAATTAGTTTTGAAAAGATTAGAAGAGAATCCAAATGTCAAAATATTTTATCAGCATCAATTATTAAATATAGAGCATAAAAACGAAACGTTACACTTTAACGTAAAAGGAGGAGAAGAAGGGAGTAATAATAAAAAATCAGTAAAAGCTAAATTTATAATTGGATGCGACGGTTTCAATTCTTCTGTGCGCAAAAGTATACTTGGATCAATGTCATATTATCAACAGAACATATTGGACGAGGTTTATCACGAGTTCTACCTTCCTCCAACACAAAATGGAGAGTCTGCAGTACCATATCCAGATATGTTTCATATATGGCAACTAGGTGAAGTGATGATGGTTGGTCTACCTAATAAAGGGAATAGTTTCAATATCATATTATATACTCCTCTCTCGCACTCTAGAAATATTAAAACACCAAATGATGTTTTGGATTTTTTCCAAAAAACGTTTCCAGACGTGCAGGGAAAAATACCAAAAGATCAACTAATTGAAGATTTCTTTCGAAAGACCCCAAGCAGGCTTAATATCATGAAGTGTTACCCTTATCACTATGGTAACATCCTTTTGCTAGGTGATGCTGCCCATTGTGTCCATCCTTTTTGTGGACAAGGTGTAAACGCTGCCTTAGAGGATTGCCTAATATTTGAAGAATGTCTTGAAGAGAATAATGGAGACTTACTAACAGCAGCTGAACTATTCACTAATAGACGTTGGAAGGATCTGCACACATTAGCTGACGAATCATTGAATAACTTCACTGCTTCAAGAACTGGTGTCAGTTCTAATTGGTTTTGGATTAAATTAGAATCGTTTTTATCAAAATTTTTGCCTAATGTATTTAAACAGATATATCCAATGATTGTATTCACAAGAGAAAGATATTCCGAAATATATAAAAGAGAAAAATGGCAAAAGAAAATAGTAAATATTACAGGAATTATTATTATTATGACTATTTTATTGTTTTTATTATTGTTGGTGATGCTGTTATTCAGTATAATGAATTTTTTTTATTAGAATTTTTTGACAGTATTTTGGCAACATAGGGTATTATACGTACATATAATAAAACATGTAGCACAATGTGGCTAATTTGCTCATGCGATGATCTCACCGGCTTGTCATAGTTGCGGTAATCTAATGCTAATTTTTAGGTTGCACTTCAATCAATGGAATGCAATTTGTGGTTTATTTAGACTAAACAATAATTATTGTAACCCAATCTACCCCGCACAGTAATGACTGTATCCTGTTTATGCATAGTTTTTGTTTTGTTATTATGAATTAACGTCGAGAGCAGAATAATTCAGTTAAAGCAACATCGCAGAATTCATGATGTCTTACGATGGGTTAGGTAGCAAGGTTTCCACTTCATCTCCAGAATGCAGGTCCTTGATAAATCGTGGCGTGCTTAATTCATATGGTTTTAAACGTGATTTGGCTATTAGTTGCTTTCAGAAGGCACTCGAGATCGACAGCGGTTGTCCCATTGCTCACTGTTTTATTGCTTACAATAATGCAGCGGACTACAACAACCCTGATGGCTTTGATTACAGAAAAGGATACCATGAGTCCCGAAAAGCACTAGAAATTGCCTCAAAAATACCCTCAATTCCTGACTGGGAAATGGCAGTGATAAAGGCACAAACCTATCGTTTTTGCTGGCCTGTGGGCTCGAAGCCGCTGGACCACCTGCACCAAGAATATGCCAATGCAATGCGAAAAGTATATGAAGAGTATGGTGAAAATGACACTGATATCATGGCTCTTTTTGCTGAATCTCTAATGATGCTTGCCCCATGGAACCTTTGGACCAAACCCCCAGATATTAAACCAGCAATTAAAGAAACAGAAGAAATAGTTGAAACTCTAGAGAAAGGTCTTAAGATTGATCCTCTCCACCCTGGCCTTGCTCATTTCTATATCCATGCAATGGAGCATTCTCCCACACCCGAAAAGGCACTTTCAACATCTGATCTTCTCCAAAATAGATATCCTGATCAAGGTCACCTATTGCACATGCCCTCTCACATATACATTTGGGTAGGGCAATACAAAGAAGCCATTGATGCCAACAAAGCAGCTATAACTTCTGATAAGGCATATAAAGCAAACCAAGAGGCTGAAATTGAAATGTATGATTTGTATCGAATGCATAATTATCACTTTGCTGTTTGGGCATCTATGTTTGATGGGCAATATACTACTGCTATGGAGCATGCTGGAGAAGTTGAAAAGCAACTTGGAGTGGATGTTGTCACGTCTACACTTAATGGAGTATCTTTTGGTCCAATTTGGCTAGAAGCATTTGGATCTCTTCCTTGGCATGTCCTTGTACGTTTTGGAAAATGGCAAGAGATTATCAATAGACCAATGGATAAAGACAAGGATATTTATGCTGGAACTACAGCTGTTGCCTATTATGCTCGTGCAATAGCTTTTGCTGTTTTGGGTAGAGCAAATGAAGCAGATGCAGAACGTGTAAATTTCTATACAGCTTTAAGGAACAAAGCACTTAAAAATCGTGTTCTTTTCAATAACGTAATGCATAACCCAGTTAGAAAAAATGGTATCCTTGATGTTGCTGAAGCTGTGTTGAATGGTGAAGTAGAGTACCACAAAGAAAACTTTGATGAAGCATTCAAGTGGCTTCATCTGGCAGTAGAACGTGATATTAACCTTATTTATGATGAGCCAAGAGGATGGATGACACCAGCAAGACACGTATTGGGTGCTCTACTGCTTGAGCATAAAGAGGCAGCTAAGGCTGAAGAAGTGTATCGTGAAGATTTAAAGCAATACAAGAATAACTTGTGGTCACTCTTGGGTCTGTATCAATCTCTTAAGGAACAAAAGAAAAATGAAAAGGAAGCCGAAGAGGTTTTTCGTCTATTCAAGAAGGCAAGTGCACGTTGTGATAACTCAGTTAATTTTGGAGCTTCATGCTTGTGTGCTACCAAACTATGCAATTAGATTTAGTGAAAATTAACAATTGATAATTATCAAGCTTTCTGTTGAGTTGATTTTACATAATATCTACCAGTCATTTTTACTATTATACTAATTTTTCAATTTCATGTGATTCCAATAAATTTATACTTATGTATCCCTGTTAAGTGTGAAAACTTAGATCTAAATACATGGAAATTATTTATTTTACTTATAAACTGTATAAAACAAGTTAACTATTGTGATAGTTGTAATCATTATGTATCCATAAAGAACTAGGGCTAGGCAAATTAGCATAACAGGGCAAGTTATTATGCTGGCATATTGGGTCAAAAATTTCTGGCACTATATCCCTGACCAAACAATTTCAATTCATTATAGGAGGTGGTACAAGTCAGTACTAGTAGTACAACAACCCAACTGCTTAATACCACCTACTCAAGCATGATGAATCCAGTGACATAGGTTGTTCTATTTTGCAGTGATTCAAAGTCACTGGAAACATTTTGCATTATTGCAATATTATAATTATAACAGATGCATGCACATGTAACTTGATTAGTTGATATTTGAGTAAAGCTTAAACTATGAGCATAATAATTGGTATAATTGGATTCATTTCAAAGCATAATAGGCTGGAATTTGGAGCAGTACCTAAAAGCATATCAGGCAAAAATTGAAGCATAATTTGCCTAGCCCTATAAAGAACTTCAGTTCACAAAACTGTCATGTATGCAACAGTCGCTTGTTAACACCTGTAGGGTAACAATTAATGTAAATGCTACCTATACATGAGATTACAAAAGTCAGTGACATGCTGGTACAATCTGTATACACTATTGAGCCATTGTTAGAATAGTAAAGTTATGTTTTAATAGGGATATATGATGACATGCATTATGATCATACTGAGTAAAAGCATTAGAGGAAAATATCCCATATTATTTTGGCGATTTCTATTTATTGGAGGATCTCTATGCCCCAAATTTAAAACTCAACAAGATTGCATTGTGATGCTTTTCTCAATGCATTAACTACTCTTGTTAGTACAATAGTGAACAATAAAAATAAAACTACACATAAAGTTGAACTGAGTTTGTCCCTTTCACTTCCATTTTCTTTATTTCTTGGCACATTCTTCTTAGTCACATTATTCGAAGAATCACTATAATAACAATTGAGAATAAATTTGTTACACTAAATATTTCATGTATTTTAATTGCAATGCAATCAGTAATTATGGTAAGAGCAAAAGTTTGTTTATAGATTCATAGTAATGTTGAATAGGTACAAACATGTGTATTTTGAGCACTATGTAAATGCTTTGATAGCTTAGGCCCATCCCCTAAATGCTTACATTCGTCTAGGCTTCTGCTACACTTAATGGACTGTAGTGGTGCTGACTGCTTTCATTTATGAAAGTACTGTTAATTATATACACACATGTAGCATAGGTTTAGGAATGAAATTTGCATTGGGGGAGGTCAATCCCACAAGTCATGCATGCATTAAAATGAATCTTGGCGTTTTAAAATGCCAAATAGACTTTAGGAACCAAATAGTTAAGAATTTTATTGGGGAGAACCTACAAGGCCTCCCTGGCCCCTATAAACTGATTCTGATCAAAAGTTTTTGAGTTATGACCTGACCTCTATCAGAAGTAACGAATTTATGGAAGAAAATCAAAGGACTCTCTTTTACAAAATATTGACCCCCAATTTTTTACATTTCCTTATGCTGTATAAAAATTTAAGCCAATTCCAACTAATATTTTGAGTTATGAGCATTAAAATAATAAATTTTGGAAAGGCAACAACTATAGTCTTTGTTTTTTTCTTAAAAAATGGGTTTGAAATCATACTTATATTTTGATACATTATTGCTGTCCTAGCTTAAGCTATATAGAAATTCATCCCACTAGTAATGCAATTTTATGAGGGACCATGGCCCCCATTCTTAATGTCATATGCCTATATGCTGTAGCATTATAAAAACTTTAGAGTCACATGTAATTAATCCTTACTACATTTTAGACTGGCATTTTGATACATTATTGCTGTCCTAGCTTAAGCTATATAGAAATTCATCCCACTAGTAATGCAATTTTATGAGGGACCATGGCCCTCATTCTTAATGTCATATGCCTATATGCTGTAGCATTATAAAAACTTTAGAGTCACATGTAATTAATCCTTACTACATTTTAGACTGGCATTCTAAATTAAAATCATTTTGTCTTATGATACTGGCTATAAAATAGAATCAGTGATTTTGATAAACCAAATTGAGGCTCAATCGGCCCAATCCAATTTGCTATTGGCCTAAAATGTCATTGGGCCCATTTGCTCAAAAATGCTTAGTCTGCTACTTTTTAAACAATAATTTACAAGCAACAGGCATTTTGCCACATAATTTGAGCTAATTTGAGCCGTTATTGGTTCACAGTCAAATTGCACACCAATATGGCACATCGAGTTGCAACTTTTTAAGGTGATAATTTTAGTAATCGGAGTTAATGCATTAGTACTTACCATTTTTGCTTTTGAATCTCTAGTCTGGATTCACTTCAGCATGTTAAAAGACTCCTGTAAAATAACAAGAGTCGATAATACGGTATAAATTAGGCCTTGACCACATGAATTTTCCAGATTTATAAAAAATACTGTACACTGTATACTACAGGGCTTTTAAAAGGATTTTGGCATGCTATATAGCAGGCTATTTTTTGGTCTAATACTTTGTGGTTTGCTCCTAATTGGGCAATTCATGGCTTTAATTTTTGTGGTTGACAGTGCACATAGCCTGTAATTGCATTTGTATCATGGAATGCCCAAACTACACTATATTTTTTTATACATTCAACAATGTTGCTTTCAACATCTGCCCAACCTTTGATGGGGTCAACATGCTACCTTGAATAGAAAACCTTTTTATTCCTTTTGACAAGGTTGAAAGAAAGATCAAAGGCTGGCAACAACACTGTTGCAACAATAGCAGAGTTAGGGCCCAGGTCTATCTCTACAACAGTTGTATGCTAACCACAGAATTCATACAACAGCCACAACTATATAGAAACCAGGCCTTAAGCCCAACATACACTACATTCAACAATGCTTGCTTTCAACATTTGCCTAGCCTTTAATCATACTTTGATGTGGTCAAGCAACATGTTGCCTTGAATAGAAAACCTTTCTATTCCTTTCAACAAGGTTGAAAGAAAGATCAAAGGCTGGCAACATAATATTATTGCCTTTAGTGTATGTTGGGCTTTAGCAACATGGCTTACAAGATCAAAGTAACCACAAATGTTACTATAGCAACACCTCCCTTAACTGATGGCAATTCAATCATTTCATTGGTTTATATTTCGTAATAAGCCCCCAAACTACAAAAACTATCAAACTTAAGTGCCATGAAAATAACTAGTGCTCATGCAGGTTTTTGTCAGTGGATTTTAAAGTTGCTCCAAAGTTTGAAAAATACCAGTGACTTTTAATTGCGGGTACTAAATTTTGCGATTTTAGCACAAGGTAGATTTTGCTGGTATTAAAAATTGCGATTAAGTAATTATTACTAATAGTTATATGGCATCATGATGTCATTATTAATAATTGCGCGTATTAATAATTGCGATTTTTAACCCAAACGCAAAATTCGCAATTAATAGTACCCGCATTTAAAAGTAACCTTAAGGTAGACTATGACTACAAAAATTAACTAGTACAAATACAAACTTTTAACCAAATCATTAAAGTTAGAAAATTTTAAATACTCCAATATTTGAACATATATGGTATGGTCTCTGACACAATTTCATCAAATATAACTAAAAGAGAATTCTTCATTTTTTATAATTTTTGTCTAATACATGTACATATGTACATATGCATGTCTCTTATGTTGTGTATCTGATTCAGATCAAAATTAGATTTTTACAAATTTTTAAAGTTACTCAAAAAGCTAAGCATGTGTACATTTAAGAATCATTGCAACTAGCACACACATTCATAATACACAATAGTCCCTACTAGTATGAGATATACTAAATTCTTATCCTACCTTCTGTTATTTCATTCAATGCTGCTAGCTGTATTCAGGCCATTGTCATTGAGTTAGTTTCTTGACAGACTTTATCTTTACCAATGATTCAAGTGACTATGAAATTAATGTTATATAACTGTTAATATTATAATTAGGCCAAGTATACTGTATCACTCCAAATTTTCATCAGCAACAAAAACTTGGAGCTATAGAGTCACTCGGGGCTATTCTGACCGGTTTTGCACTATGATCTAAGTAATTATCTAAAAAGTCATAACTCATTTCTTGTTGATACCCACTTATTGTAACTATCATTGTATTCTACTATGTTTATTCTATCTATTCATAATACAGTTAAAGTTTGAATAAAAATAATTATTATAGATAAAGTGACCAGTATTTTGGGGCTTCAACCAGAAGGAAGACTTATTATTTGCCTGCTTCTTTCACCTTTGCAATGTACTTAGGCAGAGGCAGGATTATAAGAGTAGTTGGGTAAGAAAGTGACATGCGAAGCGTGCTGTAATTTTGGCCACACCCCATTTTGAGAGCGTATTTTGGGCATATACTCAATGCACGCATAAATATATACCCAAAAGACACCTATCTAATTGGTACAACCTTATTCAACCTGTGAAGTACCAGTCCTGGTTCTCTTGGAATTCTGGTTGACAAAGGAAAGCAGCAAAAGACAGTCTTGATAGCCATGGTAATTTTTCATCACTAAAATTGATGTCATTATAATTGGTTTCTCATTTCTGATCTAAATTTTTGGTCAGGCATGGCCCCCGTCCTGGCCCGACCCTACTGCCACCTATGGCTATGTAGGGATCAAGCTGTTGTTTGGCACTGTCAGAGATCTTTCTGCTGTCTTGCTCTCAGTTTTGTATCTGCCACAGTTAGAAACTTATAATAGAAAAGTAGGACTACCTACGTGTAGGCTGGGCTATTCTGACCCTTGGCACCATAGATAATAGAGTAAATGAAATCATTTATTCTATTATTTACTATTCATTTACTTTCATTCATTTATTTTCCTTTACTCTATTATCTATGTTGGCTGACTTGGCTCCATGCTACATGGAAATTTGTCATTCCTTTATACAGAGGGACAGAATAGCCCCAGGACAAAATAGCCCCGACTTACTCTACAGCAACAATTGTTATTATTAATGTACATACATGTAGTTCATAGCCCAGGGATACACAAATAATGTAGCAATTTTGGCCCCGTGGGTACGGCTACACGCAGCAATCTGTTGAGTGGCACTGACCCACACTGAGCCCCTAGCCATAGTACAGTATGCATGCCCGAGCACAGCCCTAGCTACATCATGTATCAAAATACTTACTTTCTCAAATACAAGGAATAATGGAGCAAGTGTCATGAGCTAATCAGTTGTCCTCATTATCACTAAGATGGGTCATCGATAGATCAAAATAGCAATCCACTAGTTGGAGGGGAGACTATTGGACAAGAGCTACATATGGCTCACACAAGATCACGCCCACATAAAATCCAGATATCCGCTCTCATTCCTGAATTAGCACGATGTCGACGAGCTGGTACAACAACTGGAGATACAAGTATCTTTTTCTTTTCTTTCTTTCTTCTCTACGTCTTTTGTCCAACTATTGTCTTTTAATGCCCAATGGCATAGAAGACACTATTATTAAAGTGATGGGAGTCACTACTGCAGAGTATGATCTACTTTTCTCCGTTACTGCATGGCCTAACATAGTCCTTTGCTTAGTAGGTGGAGTACTAATAGACAGGTTAGTGGGATTGAGGCTAGGATTACTCATTGTGGTTAGTTGTGTACTACTGGGCCAGATTGTATGGAGTCTAGGAGGACTCATTGATAACTACTTTATTATGCTGGCTGGACGATTCTTACTTGGAGCTGGGTATGAGTTAGTGGTAGTTATTGATAATGGATTTAAAGCGATTTGGTTTAAAGAGGACCTACCACTTGCCATTTCAATTGATATTGGATTCAGTAGAATAGGAGGAACATTAGCTATACTTCTTCCTCAGTTAATATATGACAATCTCACAATATTTCATAGTCCTACTTTTAGACTAGGAGTCACACTACTCACTGCTGCTGGATTAATGATAATTGGGCTAACATGCTCTTTAATAGTGTTTTTTATGGACTACAAACGAGAGAAACGGATTGAAAAATTACTTAAATCAATTACAGTTCATAAATTCAGTATTCTAGATAATGTGAAGCAGTTTTCAGTACTATTCTGGTTGAGTACAGCTATTAATTTAGCCTATTTTCCAGTCTTGCATTCGATTGTTGGAAATGGCCAGGATTTTTTTATACAGAAATATGGCCTTTCAATTGAAATGGCAAACTTGGCCAATAGCTTGTTGTTTGGTGGAGCAATCATATTTATACCAATTGCTGGGCTTCTTACAACTAAGATTGGCTTTCGCTTGTATTGGTTACTGTCATCACTTATAATAACAAGTCTTCCAGCTTTATTATTATTTATGTTCAGCAATGGAGACAGTTACATACCATTCATAGCAGGAATATTGTATTCTCTCTCATATACTATTATTGGACCATCACTCACAGCTCTGCCAGCTTTTATAATAAATAAGGAATTCATCACTACAGCTTATGGTATTCAGAAGAGTCTTTTTAATGCTTCCTTTTCTTTAATGGCATATGTCACTGGTCTAACTATTGATACTCTTGGTTACTTTGTTTTGCAGGGATTATTCACACATTGTATTATCTTTTGCATTGATTTGACATTAATTATGATCTTTATTGATGTTGCTTCTAAAAAGCCAAAGCTCAACATTTCTGGACTGTGGCTCCGTAAAAATACAGGATCTACAAGTTAATTAAAAAATAGATTGAATTTGTTACTAATATTTTTTTTAGTATTCTATTACTATCTTTTGATTTAATTATATTTTTTCATGATTTTAAAAATTAACTGGTCCTAATAGTGCTACATAATTTCGTGTTTTTTGTGGCAAGGTAAAGAACAATAAACTTATAAAGTTGTGTGTGAATAATGAGAGCATAAGAGCATGAACTGACAAGTAAAATTGGAACAGGAACTTGGACAAAGAAAGTGACTGAGTGATGAAAAGCATTGTGGTGACTTCTTTTAATAAAACTCTCAAGTATGTGATTTATCTCTTTTACTTTTTGTTTAAAAATCTGTTTCAAGTAACAATATCTCTAAAAGTACCATTATATACATGGAGATCCATTATCCTTGAAAAAAAAAAAAAATTAGATAGGCCACAAAGCATGAAGTACCACTGATGATAGTCTACACTGTTGATTTTGGAGGGGAAATTTTTATAAATTTTGAAGTCTTGACAGCCATTCACCAAAATAAAACCAAACAATTATATGCATACTCAATGGTATACATGGACACAAATCAACAAAATTAAAACTTAGCAACAATTAAAAATTTAACAATTAGTTAAAATTTTACTCCTCCAAAACTACAGCTATACAGCATGTTGTAACTAAAACATAAACACTAATTTTTCAAAGAATAAGCTATCCCAAGGAAATTTCAAGTATTTGAGCTGTTTTGGTAGCATGCTGTCTATAATAATGTACAAACAAACCAGCTCTATTAGATCTAAATGCATTATTAATTTGTAACTAGTAACTACTCACGATCAGTGTTGTGATACATTGTTCAGTAATTATAGACACTGGCTTGTGATCAGTGATGTGGTATATTGTTCTGTAATTATTTGATTGCAATAAACACTGGCTTGTGATCAGTGATGTGGTAATTTGTTCTGTAATTAATCATTGCAATAGACACAGATGTGGTACACTACTCATGACATAACTATTCTAAGAATTCTGTAGTAAATCTGTCCAGATCCTGAATACAGCTGCAGATTTGGGGATTCTGTTGACAAGCACTCCCTCACATAAAATTTGTTGTATATTATTAGTATCTATAATGTATATATACTTATAGCTGGTTTATTTCATGTAGAACTAATTTTAAAATTAATTCCACTAAAACACCAAACAAAGATGATGAAAAATTTTGTAAACCACAAAAATTAATTCCATTGAAAATTTAAACAATGAAAACTGATTCAAGGCTATACAATAAACCAACTATTGGTATAAAATTTCTTATACTGATGCACATGTCATACTTCTCTATGCTCTCTTAGCCTCATCACCTTACCCTCTCAGTTTTTCTACTGATTTTTACTTCTAGTGTTAAACTTTGGAATGCTCTTACCTTCTTTTGGGTAAATCATTAATTGCTAATAACTTATACATACTGCAAATGACGTACTGTTTACCTCATTTACTACACAAGTTTTATTACTCTTGTATAAGTTATTACATAACTATAATACAGGAAGTTAAGCTAAAACATTGTCAGTCACAATTCTATAAGAAAGAGTGTTGTCACTAGAGAATAATAACTGCATTGAATGATGCTACACTTACATAATAGAACTAGTATATTTCAAAAGTTTCACAAAATATAACTTGCTACAGGCAACTGGTAGAATGCAGATTAGTGATGTGGCTCCTAGACATTGATGACATGTTCTTAACATAACTTTACAATAAAAATCATTACCAAAATGAGGTTTAAATGACAGCTTAGCTACATCGTAAAAATACATGTATTTTACCACTAATGTCAAAACAGCTAAAAGCAGCATAGAATAAAGCCACATAAGAAAGCGTACAGAATAAATGTATAATAGCAATAATAATACAGTCATAGACAAAGTACATCACTGAATTGAACAGTTATTGTCATTGTTTCTTTCGTTTCTATTCCTGCAAGAATAAAAAATTACAAATGAAAAATCTTTCCAGAAGAATAATTGCAAGACACATTTGAAAGCAAAATTATAGGTTATTATTATGCCTGCTTTCACAAAGCACCATGTTATATAAAATCAAATAAAATTCATGTTAACCATAAGCATGCGCATGTTAATATGTCAAGCTATTAGCTGAATACACAATATAATGGTAATTTTGTAGGTGATAAAATCAGGGTTTCCCACAGGATTTTGGCATAGTGCTCAGTTCAATTTTTTAACAACTTCAAAAAATCCTGCACTTGTACTTTGTCAAATTTTATTGAGCATGGTAGGATAGAATTCCTATCACGTTTTCTCATACTTTTATGTTGTGTAGAAGGTTTGAACTACCGTAGGTCAGAATATATTCATGGCTGCAATTATTCGTGGTAATAAAAAATTCATTAAAAACAATAAAAACAGATATGCTATTTTATTGAAAACGGTGCGATAATAAAGGAAAGCACCTTGCTGCAGTGTTCTTGAGCTGTTGTTTTCCTGTGTTATTAAACCTTGGTCTCTTTGGAAATGCTTTTACCAGTTTTTTTCAGAACTACTGTCTTGCCGTATCTTGGGAGTCTCCACCCATTCTAGTTAGTGTTAATTGACTTAGGTGAGGTTTATTATCACCAGCATGCGGACCAGCAACAATTTGCAGCAAAGAGGCTGAAAGAGTTCTGAGGTAGAGGTCCATACAAGAAGATAACAGATAGAGAAAGACTTGCTATTCGTGAATGGCTCCACTAAAGCTGCTAAAGAATACATGAATAGCTGAACACTAATCACGTGGTCTTATTTTCATAGCAACACTCTAATGGTTTCCATGGTTTTTAACTGAAATTTTTATTACTGCGAATAATTGCAGCTGCGAATAAATTCCGACCTGCGGTAATTCCAATGAAAAAGTTTACTCAAAAATCGGGTATAGTAAATGGCTTTGGCCAAATTTCGCCAAAATTAAAAAAAAGAATTTACCATTTAAATTTTTTGATTATATACATGTTTCTATGCTGTGTAGCAAGTTTGAACTGCTTATAATCAAAATTAATTTTTTTAAAATTTTAAAGTAGCTGAAAATCAGACCAAAGTCCATGTACTATAGTTCAGGGCCTTTGGCAAAATCCCACAAGAAATGACTAGGGAGGAGTCTCCATTTTTACAATTTTTTATAATACATAATGTTCTTTTGTTGTGTAGAAACTTTGACCCGATTCTGATCAAAATTAAATTTTAAAAATATTTTTTAAAGTTGCTCTAAAATTGAATAAAAATCCCTGTACTGTTGTATAGTACAGGCTCTTTGGCCAAATTTCACAAAAAATGAATAGGAGACAATTCTTCATTTTTATATTTTTCTATGATACATATACCTGTCCCTATGTTGTGTAAAATGTTTGAGCTGATTCAAACCAAAATTTGGTACTTTACAAATATTAAAAAATTTTTTTTAAAGTGGCTCCAAAATCAAATACCATATGCAGTACTATAGTACAGGGTCATTGACCAAATTTTGTAAAAAAAATGACCAGAAAAGAATTTCTAATTTTTGTAATTTTTATGATACATAAACACATTTTCGTTATGTAAAAAGTTTGAGCTGATTTCTACCAAAACTTGGTTGTTTACAAATTTTTTGAAGTTGCTTCAAAATTGGATAGAAGTCCCAGTACTACAGTACAGGGTTTGTACCAAATTTTACAAAAAAAGACTAGGAGTTTATAATTTTTTGTGATGCGTATACACATTCTTATGTTGTGCAGAAAGTTTGAGCTGATTCCAACTAAAATCAAATTTTTTAAAAAATTTTATAAAGTCGCTCTGTCGTTCGGAATAATCGGTCGTTTGGAATAATCGGTTGTTTGGAATCCTACTTGTCCTTGTTTCCATTACTTTTTTGACGAATTGACACACTGAATCCTACTCAATCTTTTTTTTTTAATTTTTGTAATAGCTTTAGTACAGGGTCTTTGGCCAAATTTCACAAAAATGACTGGGAGACAATTCTCCATTTTTATAATTTTTTGTGATGCGTATACACATTCTTATGTTGTGCAGAAAGTTTGAGCTGATTCCAACTAAAATCAAATTTTTTAAAAAATTTTATAAAGTCGCTCCAAGATCAGATATCAGTACTATAGTACAGGGTCTTTGGCCAAATTTCTCAAAAAATGACTAGTAGACAATTCTCCATTTTTATAATTTTTCATGATACACATACATGATTTTATGTTGTGTAGAAAGTTTGAGCTGATTCTCACCAAAATTAGGTTTTTTTACAAATTTTTTGAAGTTGCTCAAAAATTAGATAAAAGTCCCTGTTATAGTACAGTATTTTTGCCAAATTCTACAAAAATGATTAGGTGAGGATTCTCAATTTCAATAATTTTTATGATGCATGTACATGTACTTATGTTGTGTAGGTTTGTGATGTGTCAAAGGATATTTTTACAAATTCTTGAAGTTATTCATAAGTGTCCTTGGTCAAAATTTTGCCAAAAATGACTACAAGAAAAAATTTCATTTTTGTGTTGTTTTCCAGATACATATACACATCTGGTGTTGGGTAGAAAGTTGAAGCTGATTCTGATCAAATTTTCATTTTTGTACAAATTTTAAAAGTTGCTCCAAAATTGGATAAAAGTCCCTGTACTATAGTACACGGTCTAGGGCCATACCATATAGCTGGTTTATTTCGAGGATAAAAAATTTCGTAAATGACTCGTATCCGGAAGTTCGCGGAATTAATTTTCGCGAATTTCCACTATTCTGCCATCTTGTACCGTAATAAATTGATTTTCAAGGAATTTAATTTGCAAATCTTGAAAAATACGCGAAATTCGCAAAATTTGTTATCCTCGAAATAAACCTGCTATACAGTATTTCACCAAAAATAATTTTTCATCTTTATAAATTTTTTGATACATAAACATGTATGTATACATGTTCTTATGTTGTCTAGAAGGTTTGAGCTGATTCTGTTCAAATTCAGAATTATGATGAGTTTTTAAAGTTGAAAGGCTTGTCAACTCGTATGAAGCATCCTTTATGGCTCACTGAACATGCTGTGTGAGAATTTAGGATGAAACAAATTTTTATATAAATCAAGTACAACTAATTAATTACTGGCAAACCTGTTGCTGTTTTCATTGTCACTGAAGTTCAGCTGTCTGAGAGCTTCCAGTAACTCATCAGGTGGAGGAAAATTGAGTTCATCTAGTCCAGGTAGACCTACTCCTTGATTCAGGAACTAAAAACAGAAAAATCAAGTACATGTGTACATATAATATTAAAATTTATATTTCTAAGCCACTAGAGCATAACTTGTATTAAGTTAATTTATTTATTACTTGTTAATAGTAGTTGAAAATGCCCATATATAAGGCTCTTGATTAGGTAATTAAAATAAAGCTCCAATGAATAACTCAGCATTGAAAAATACTTACATTTAAAGGGTCTTCTCCTTCCTTTCCTATCAGAAGTTGCATGATTCCTGGATTTCCAATAGCTAACATTTGTGGAGTTACACCATTCTCATCAGCACGGTCTGCTTTGCAATTTTTTTGTAATAAAAATTGAACAATCTCACGATGACCATTCTGGCATGCATAATGAAGTGGAGAGCGTCCATCTTCATCAGGAACATCAAGTGAAACACCAGGTATAGTTGAAAAGAACTTTACCATATCATATTGTCCAGTAAAAGCAGCTAAATGTACAGGTGTGACACCACTTGAATCTTTAACTGTTGGATCACAATGGTGCTCATTCACTAAATACTTAGCTACCTCAAAGTGACCATCCTGTGCACTTTGATGAAGTGGTGTCCTTCCGTTTGTCGAGGAAATAGACATGTCACAGTTACCAAATGAAGCAAAAAATTTTAGTATATCAAGGCTTCCATTTCCAGCAGCAAGTTGCAAGGAACTCACACCAAAAGCTGTGTCTTTCTGGTTAAAGTCGACCTGACATTCATTAACTAGCATCTTAACAATATCAGTGTGTCCATTTTGACTGGCTCCATGTAAAGCAGTGCGACCACTATTATCTGTATGATGTGGATCAGTTCGGGGATTAGAAATTAAGTGCTTGACAATATCAAAATGACCACACTCTGCAGCTAACTGGAGTGGTGTTACTCTTGTCCTGTCTTCCAAATTACAGTCGGCATCATGATCATCCACAAGAAGCTTGACAATGTCAGTGCAACCATTTTGACATGCATAATGAAGGATTGAGCGCCCATGCTGATCACAAATATGTGGGTTACTGTTCGGCAGACCAGCAAGATACTTAACTAGCTTAAAATTTCCTTTTTCTCCAGACAATTGAAAAGGTGTTACACCTTTTTCATCTTTTTTCATCGGATCGGAATTGAACTTTTCAACAAGAAAACAAGCAATTTCAAAGTGACCATTTTGACAAGCATAGTGTAGTGGGATTCTCTGATGCTTATCACAGTGATTAAAATCAACCCCTTCACAGCTAGATAAGTATTCTACTATATCAAAATGTCCTGCCTCTACTGAGAGATGAGTAGGAGTTATCTTTGAGTTATCTTCCAAATTAATGTTGCAGGATTTCTGAGACACTAAAAACTTGACCATATCAGTATGCCCATCCTGACATGCATAATGGAGAGGAGTACGCCCATTTGCATCACAGTGATCAAAATGAAGTTCACAGTTTTCATCAAGGTATTTTACGATTTCAAAGTGCCCATTCGACACCATTAATTGCAATGGAGTAACTCTCTTTTTGTCTTTCTTCATTGGATCACATTTACATTCAGCTACTAAAAACTTAACTGCTTCAAAGTGTCCATTCTGTCCAGCATAGTGAAGTGGGGTTCTAAAAGTGTGGTCCAATGGATCCATGTCGACTCCAGGTTGCTGAGCCATTAGTCTCAATATTTCTGTGTGTCCATCATGAGCTGCATTATGAACTGGAGTATGCCCTTCAGAATCCTTAAAACTCAAATCACTTTGACATTCTTGTATTAGATAACGAGAAACCTTAATACTCCCAGCTAAAGCTGCATTGTGAAGTACAGATTCTTGTTGAGGGCCTCTAGTGTGTATAGTCTTCTTTCTCTCTGCAATGCTTGCACTCTCTAGTATCTTCTTCACTTCATCAATGTCATCTTCAATGGCTAGTGATCTTAATTTTATATTCTGAGGAAACTTATCCCTTGCATTCATCATCCATTGGTGACCCTTTTCTATAACATTAACACGTTTTCCAAGCTCAGGAATTTTTGCCTTTAGGTACTCAACAACTTTATCTCTTCGTTTAAACATTGCTATCTCAAAAGGTGTGATGCCATTCTTATCCTGACGTGTCACAGAGCAGTGTTTTTGCTCAACAAGGAACTTGACTATATCCAAATGACCTTCATCACAAGCATAGAATAAAGGAGAGCAATCACGATCATCAGTAACATCAGGATCAATGCCTGGCAGATCAGATAAGAACTGGACAACATTAAGGTGACCACTGTTAGCTGCTAAATGTAAGCCCCTTACTCCACGATATGCTTTAGCATTAGGATCAGCACCAAACTCATTGACTAATATTTTGATAGCATTAATTTTGCCTTCCTGACAGGCACAGTGTAAAGGCTCCTGTTCTTTCACATCCTTAGCCATAACATCAACTCCATCTTGTTCACAGAGGAAACGAATTATTTCAAGGTGTCCTACAAAAGATGCCAAGTGAAGAGGTGTGACTTTGTTCTTATCTGTGACTCCAACATTAGCTCCTTTTTCAATGAGAGCCTTCACAACATTTGGGTGGCCATTCTGTGAAGCAAAGTGTAATGGGGTACGTTTATTGTGATCAGATACATTGGGATCACATTCATTCACTTTTAAAAGGACATACACAATCTCAGTGAATCCCTGATGTGATGCATTGTGTAGTGGAGTGTGACCATCTGAATCAGGTTTGTTAATCTCAAAAGGACATTCATTTATTAGGTACTCAACAATGCCAAGGTGACCAGCAAATGAAGCATTGTGCAATAATGTTTCTCCTTCTGGGCCAAGATTTAAAGCAGCATTTGTGCCAACTTCTTGAAGAGCAACTTTCAACTCATTTAATTTACCAGTTATTGCTAGTGAGCGAATCCTCAGACCTTTAGCATCAGCACCATGTAGAAGTTTAGCCATGTTCTCCTTTCCCCACCCACCAGGGACACTATTAGACAGTTCTGCTTGGAGGAAATTAATTATCATATTATGGCCTTTTAAAAGAGCCAACTCAAAAGGTGTGATGCCTTTTGGGTCTTTTAATAGTGCATTGCATTTCCTCTCCTTGATAAGATATTGAACAACTTCAAAATGTCCTTCTTGGCATGCATAGTGAAGAGGAGACCGCCCATGATGATCAATAATATCCGGTTCACAATCCTCCTGCTCACAAAGGAGTTTGACTGTAGGAAAAATCCCTCCTTCACAAGACAAGTGTAGAGGAGTGACATGTCCTTCCTCATTCTTTGTGGAGAGGCAGCTCATTTTACAATCATTGAGGAGATAATTGACCACTGCCACATTATTGTGTTGTGCTGCATAGTGAAGTGTTGTCCTTCCATGTTTGTCTACATGAGCTGGGTCTCCTCCATGCTTTATCAATACTTCCATTATCTCTAGCTTCCTATTTTCAGCTGCTAACTCCAATGGAGTGACTGACTTGTTGTCTTCTGCCTTTAAATTGCATCCTTTCTCTTCCACTAAAAATTTAACAACACCCAAGTGTCCATTCTGACAAGCAAAATGAAGTGGAACACGTCCATTCTTGTCTTTCTCCTCAAGGCTACAGTTTGGTTGGTTAGCAAGGTAGCGAGCTATTTCTGTATATCCCTCATGAGCAGCAGAGTGTATTGGAGTGTGGCCATCTTCATCTTTATCATTTAGGTCATAAGAGAAAGTGTCTTGTAAGTAACGAACCATTTCAAGGTGGCCACCAAAAGAAGCTGTGTGCAATATGGTTTCATTCTGTAACCCACGTTCGTGTGCTCTGCCAGGATTTGAAGACAAGGTCTTTTTGAGCTTATCAAGGTCACCTCGAGCTGCCATGACATGAAGATCAAATCGTCCTACTCCTCTCCTAAGAGCATTTCTCAGTCTTCCCACCGGCATGCCAAGTCCATTGAAGGATAATTGATTACCATTATTATCATTGCCATTTCCATCTTCAAGAAGATTCATATCACGAAAAGCTTTCAATACTTTCTCACTGCTAACAACAATAGCAATATCTAGTGGCTTTATACCATTGTCATCTTGTACATGTGGATCAGTTTTAGCTTCTGCAAGGAAAAGCTTGACCAATTCATCATTAGTGGTTTGACATGCATAGTGCAGTGGTGTACGGCCAATCTTGTCTTTTTCATTAACATTTACATTTTTCTGAGAACATAAAAGTCTAGCAATTTCTGTGTGACTATTATTAGCAGCAATGTGAAGTGGGGTTACTTTATGTTTCTTTTCAACAATCGTTGGGTCAACATGACACTCTTCAAGCAAGAACTTGGCAACTTCAGTGTGACCTTGTTGACATGCACAATGTAAAGCTGTTCTCCCATCACTATCAGCTCTGTCTGGTTTAACTGATGGCTTCTCTGCCAGCAGTTTCACAAGGTGCAAGTGACCAGCATAAGCAGCAAGTTGAAAAGGAGTAGTTCCTTCATTGTCTTCGTGATCATAATAATCTTCATCCATTTTATCAAGTAAAGCCTTTATGACTGGGAGTTTTCCTTCCTCACAGGCACAATGAAGAGCCAGTCGACCATTCTCATCAGGTAGCGTAAGGTCACAGTCATTTTGTTCAGCAAGAAATTCTATGACACTCAAATGACATCTCATTGCTGCAAGATGAATAGGAGTGTGACCATTATTGTCTTGAGTGCAAGTAGGATATTGACATTCAGTCACTAAGTATTTAACAATATTTAAGTGTCCTGAAAATGATGCTAAATGAAGTGGAGACTCCTTGCGTGGCCCATAAGGAACATCTGAAGATGATCGAGTTGAGAGTGCTTTCTTCAAAGCTTCAAGGTGACCGTTTGCTGCAAGCATTATAATGTGCATATTACTAGCTAAAGATGGAGAACCATTTTTAGAGTTCTTATTTAAGGAACTTTTAACAGCATCAGTTGATTTTAAAAATGTAACAACATCAAAACTACCATTAATTACTGCCACATCAAGAGGTGTAACTCCATCCTTATCTTTCCTAAGTGGGTCACATCTCTTTTCTTCCACAAGGAACTGAACAGTAGGTAAAGATTTCTTTTGACAAGCATAATAAAGTGGCGAACGATTGTATTTGTCAACACAATCAGGAACCACTCCAGTTTGTGAGCAAAGAAATTTTACTATATCAATGTAGCCATTATTAGCCGCCAAATGGAGTGGAGTCACACAGTGCTTAAAATCTCTTTTCATGCAATCAGAATTACAATTTTCAACAAGATATTTGACTGCCTCAGTCTTGCCTTCTTGGCATGAAGCATGAAGAGCAGTACGACCACTTTGATCAGAGCTATTCGGATTAGCTCCTTTCTCAATAAGAAATTTCAATATCCTAATGTTACCTCCTCCAGCAGCTAATTTAGCAGGAGTGATACCAGTATTATCTTCTATATCAACATTATCACATTGGAGGTCACTGACTAGAAATTCCACTGACTCATAGTGACCATTCTGAGATGCAAAATGAAGTGGAACACGACCATCATGATCTTTTACACTTGCATTAGCATTTGGTTGAGATGAAAGGTAACGAAGAATTGAAGTATGCCCCTCATGAGCTGCATTATGAAAACAGGTGTGTCCATCAGAGTCAACACAATTGATTGGTGAATTAGCTTCTTCTACAAGATATTTGACCACATCGAGGTGCCCTGCAAAACTAGCATTGTGAAGTGGTAATTCACCCTGAGGGCCAGTCTCAGTAACAACATGCTTACCTAGTTTGGTCACAGTTTCTTTTAGCTGTTCTAAGTTACCCTCAATGGCTAACAATCGAACAAAAAAACCTTTGGAATCATGTGGCACTTTAAAAGACGTGTCTGAAATATTTAAGTTAGCAAGCTTTTCCATAGTAGAACGAGAAGTTGATGATGGAGGCTGTTTGGCAACTAAAATTTGCTTTGTTTCTTGATTACCAATTATCATGGCAAGATCTGTAGGTGTGAGACCTATAGCATCTGCAAGTGATGTGTCAGCTTGCTTCTCTTGTACAAGGAACCTAACTATCTCGGTGTTTCCTTCCTTAACAGCAAAATGCAATGGGGTCTTTTTCATCAAATCACATTCGTTGACATCACATTTCTCAAAACTACAGAGATACTTGAAGAGTTCAAGATTACCACCTGCAGCAGCTAGATGAAGACAGTTGACACTATGGAGTGTGTCTTTAAGCATGGGGTCACACTTTTTTTCATCTATTAGAAATTTCACGATTTGAAAATTGCCTTGTTGAACAGCAACATGTAATGCAGTGCGTCCATGAGAATCAGTAGCATTGCAATTAACTAACTTATGATTACCCAAAAACTGTGCCATACTTAGGTGACCATGAAAACCAGCTAAATGAAGTGGAGTAACACCATTCTTATCAGCAACAGAAGGATCTGCATGTAGTTTTTCCACAAGACACTTCACCACATCTAAGAAACCGCCTTCTGCTCCCCTGTGGATGGCAGTGTGTGAATCTTTATCTCTGTACTCAACATCAACGGCATCCAATTTCCCAAGAAAACAAACAATATCAGAGTGACCCTTTGCTGCAGCAAATTGGAGAGGACTTACTCCATTTGTTTTATCAGGAAGGCATGGGTCACATTTACAATCATTAATAAGATGCTGCACTGCTTTAAGGTAACCTTCTTGGCAGGCACAATGCAAAGCACCACGACCTTTTTTGTCTGTGTGGTCTGATTGACAGGTAGAAAGAGAAGAGAGATACTCAAGAATCTCTTGATGACCATTGTATGCTGCTAACTGGTATGGAGTGGTACCTTCACTGTCTTCGTGCATGACATCACCCTCATTTCCTTCCAAAAGAAGTTTCAGCACTTCAAAATGGCCACCTTGGCAAGCATAGTGTAGAGGTATTCTACCATTCTTGTCTTCTAGTCTTATTTTACATCCATTCTGTGACATGAAAAACTGTAAAACTTTGGTGTGGCCATTATAAACTGCACATTGGACAGGGGTGTGACCATCTTTGTCAACAGCATTGCAATCGTAAGAGCATTCAATAGCAAGATACTCAACTAGTTTTAGGTGACCTCCAAAAGCAGCTAAATGTAAAGCAGTTTCACCATTAGGGCCAGTAGGGGTTTTCTCTCCTTGTGACTTCTCCATTGCTCTCTTAAGCCCTTCCAAGTCACCATCAGCAGCATACTGAAGTAGACCAAAACTAGCTTTAAAATTTGAAAACATGTTACGCAATTCTTGAGGTCTCTGAGCAAGGATTTTATGCATCAATGGTATACCTTTTTGAGCAGATTTTGCCCCTTTCTGCATGAGATATGTGGCTACCTCACTGTTACCTATCATAACAGCAACATCAAATGCTGTACAACCATTGCTATCAGTAATGCTCAAATCACAATTTTTCTCCTCAACAAGGTATTTTGCAACATGAAGAAAGTTACCTTTTGCTGCACAATGCATGGGCGTGATACCAGAATCGTTCTTAACATTGACATTACATTGAGGCTGAGAACACAAGTACTGTGTAATTGGTAGGTTACCACGTAGGGCAGCTAAGTGTAGTGGAACAATACCATGATTCTTGTCTTTCCTGTTAATGTCAGCTTTACATTCTTCAGTAAGAAACTTGACAAGATCAAGATGGCATTCTTGTACAGCATAATGAAGAGGAGTGCGTCCATGCTTGTCTAGTGCTTCTGTGTTACACAGTGGCAGCTTTCCCAGGAACATTGCAATTTCTTTCCTTCCAGCAAAAATAGCTAATTGAAACGGAGTGGTCCCATCTTTGTCTTCCAATGTGATGTCACATTCAGCCTCATTGACAAGGAACTTTACTACTAGAAGGTGATTGTTTTGACAAGCATAGTGTAGTGGTGTCCTGACATTGTCATCAACTGGATTCTTTTCACATTTGCGATCAATAAGATACCTCACAATGGGCAAGTGACCCTCATGAGAGGAGTTATGTAAAGGTGTGTGAAGCGATTTATCTTTGGCATTAATATCAGAGTGACATTCTTCAATGAGATGCTGGACCACATCTAGATGACCAGCGTGGCAGGCAATGTGTAGAGGGAGTTCACCACTTGGTCCAGTAGCATTTGCATCAGCTCCAGGTTTTGATAGTGCTGCTTTGAGGCGCTCTAAGTTGCCATTTGCAACAACAGAGTGCAATAGAAACTGACCAGGTAAGAATCCAGGCATGTTTGGCATATTGGCATTGTTATTTCCTTCATCATCTGTTGCTCCAATACCTTTACAAAATTCTTGTAGGAAATTGATAACATTTGCTTCACCAACAAAACTAGCAAGAGTGAAAGGAGTCATGCCTTTCATGTCACATAGGAGAGGGTCACATTTCTTCTCTAACACTAAGAAACGAACGACGTCTGCACAGCCACTCTGACAAGCATAATGGAGTGGTGTTCGACCATGTTTATCAGCACAGTCAGGCTGACAATCTTCAAGTGATGTGAGGTACTCTACCAGCGGCATATTACCAGACACAGCTGCCAAATGCAATGCAGTTATACCATGAGAATTATCCTCAGCCATACTATCAAAGTCACACTCTTCAATCAGGTACTTTATCACATCCATTTTACCCTCTTGTGCTGCTGCATGAAGACACGAGCGACCATTTTTATCAACAGCTTTGGGTGACTCATTTGTTGATGATATAAGGAGTTTCAATATTTCAAGGTGCCCATTACTAGCGGCTAAGTGATGAGGAAGGACTTTAGAGTTGTCAGAAGCCATTACATCAGCTCTCAGCTCATTCACAAGTACTGACACAGTCTGGAAATGTCCATTCTGGCTGGCATAGTGTAAAGGAGTCCTTCCTTGGTAATCTTTTGGATCAGGATTGGCCCCAGGACGATTACCAAGATAACGAACAATCAAGCTTTCACCTTCGTGTGAAGCATTGTGAAGAGGGGTGTGCCCACTCTCATCTTGAGCCGATATATCAAGCTGGCATTCTTCAACGAGATACTCAACAATGTCTAGATGTCCCGCAAATGTAGCATTGTGGAGTATTGTTTCACCTTGAGGCCCTTTGGACTCTTTAATGTCAACATCAGTCAGTGATCTAAGAGATTCCTTCAATTGGGCAAGGTTCCCTCTCACTGCTAGCATTCTTGCCACATAAGTAGAAGAATCTTTCCCTTTCAGCCATGACTTTGCCTCTGGAGGAGTAAAGACAGCATTAGGATAGCGACTTTTGAGAAAAGATATCAATTCATTATTACCAGATCGAATAGCAACTTGGAGGGCAGTCAAACCATTAGCATCCGAGTGAGTGGGATCAACTCCTTGCTTGTCAATGAGGTAAACAGCAGACTCTTTGTTTCCCATTTCACATGCATAAAAGAGAGGAGTACGACCTTTCTTGTCTTTTAAGTGTGGATTAGCTCCTTCCAATGAACACACATACTCAATGATGGATTGGTGTCCATTATTTGCAGCTAAATGAAGTGGACTAATGCCAAAAATACCGTCAATCATATGAGGATCACAGCTGCATTTTTCAACAAGTAACTTGAAAAGCTTCAAATTTCCTCCTTGAGCAGCAAAATGAATTGCAGCACGACCTTTGCTGTCCTTGTGACTGGGATCCACTCCTGGAAGTTCAACTAAATACTCGACTATATCACAATTACCAGTCAAAGCTGCTACTTGAAGTGGAACACTTTTCTCAACATCTTCTGTTGAAGGATTAACATTAAACTCTTTCACAAGAAGCTTAGCTGCTTCGAACTGCTCATATTGACAAGCTCTGAAAAATGGGGTCCGACCGGTAGAATCCAAAATTTCAACGTCAGCACCCTCAAGACGGCATAAGTATTCAATAACTTCAATATGTCCTTTAGCAACTGAGAGGTGAAGTGGAGTAACGCCATTGAACTTGTCACGACACTTTGGGTCACATCCACATTCACTAATGAGGTAACGAACTACAGATAAATGTCCTTCTTGACTGGCCACATGAAGAGCAGTGCGTCCATTACGATCAGTATGATTTGGATCCACTCTAGGCTGACCAACAAGTAGCTTTACAATATCGAGATATCCCTCATAGGACGCTAACTGAAGTGGAATAATACCTTCTTTGTCTTCTTGCATTGGATCACAGCGACCATCTTGCAACAAGGTCATAACAGTCTCATTATGGCCTCCTTTTGTTGCATAGTGAAGAGCTGAACGGCCCTCATTATCGACTACAGATACATTGCAGTCGTTAAGTTGTACAAGGTACTTGACTATTCTGGTGTGACCTTTATGTGATGCATGAATTATAGGAGGTCGCCCTACATCATCTAGACAATTAACATTGATATTACCATCAGTGATCAGTTCTACAACTTTATTGTAATCTCCTTTGTAACATGCTAAATGTAATGGGCTTTTAGCCAAAGCTAAACCTGATACAAGGTCACTTTCTCCAATTCCTTCTTGTTCAGCACCTGCAGCTTGTGCCATTGCTTCCATAAATTCTTGTAACATGGTAGATAAGTGGGAGAGCAATCTATCTCCTCCATTGCCACGTTGGCCGGTACTATAAAGTATGAAATGTATCGTAACATTAGTTTAGAAATAATATGATATTCATGTAGCATAATAATACCACATTTAAACCATGTGCAATGGCTGAAGTACGTTCACTAAGGAAAAGTCAACCTCACTTTCACAAGGCACTTAAAACTACATGTAATCAATCCTTGCTACTATCAAGTAACAAAAAATAGTAATGGCTATAGCCAATAGGCTATGTAAAAATAAAATTGGTAACACATTTTAGCATTGTAGGCAAAATTAGCAAAGCACATTAGTACTTTGGTATCATAAAAAGTAAGGGTTTCTCTAACCATTGTGAGGTACATGTAATTTATATTAATTATAGCAAATTCAGGTTAAAATACTACAATATAGTGGAATTAAAGTAAAAATTTTTGAAACAGGGCTATAATGACAAACATCATATACTTTAAGTAGAAATGCATTGGTATAAACAATTGTCCAAATTATTATTTAACAAATCAAGGATAAATTTACAAATCAAAAGGATAGCTTACAAATAAAAATCACAAAAAATTACAAAACAATAGAGTACAGCTAAAGTACAAATTTATCAGCGCGAGCAATTCAAACTAGAAAGCTCCCATGTAGAGTGCAGCCACACTGGAACACACGTGCAAAACAAGGAGAATGTTGTGGGCCACGTGTGCTGAGCCTACGCAAGTACCCATCTATCTTGTGGATGGCAAGCAGCAGCAGGCATTAGCAGCAGCAATGACTGTAAGAACAACTGTACTATATAAAGAAAAAAACATCTACCACCTGTTTCAGTTTAATGATGTAGGACTATCTATTATTACAGAGAGGAATTATTAGAGAGAAAAATAAAAACATAGTAGTTGCTATAAGAATCCCAATGAGGCTGTAATAATAGAAAGTAAACAGCTTATTGTTAAAACAAAACAGACAACTGCTATAGATATTGTGCATTGGAGAAGAGCTGGATCAAAAATGTACTCTTACATCTTAGCCTCTATATAAGATGATAACACAGCAAAGTAAGAGAAAGAGAATAAAAAGCCAAGAGGAAAAGAGAAAGAAAACAAGGAAAATGATAAGACAAAGGAAAAATAAGAAAGGGAAGAAAAGAGAAAGAAAACAAATGATTCTCAGGAGCAGCTGAGTAAAAAAGGAATCCAGACAAGGATTTACAATAATTCCAATTAGGTTATTAACATCACAAGTAGTAGTACCATCACCAGCAGAAATACGTGTACCACCATCAATAGAAGTACATGTATACTGTCACCACTAGAAGTGCCTTCACTAGTATAAGTACCATTACAGTAAATTAAAGCATCACTTGTACTTGTATTAGATCAGAACAAATTAATAATCCCAGACTCAACTGTACATAAGTGCAATGCGTGTGTATTATACATGTACATGTAGTAAAGGATACATTATCTACTCTTGGATACATGCACATGCAAGTGTGAATGCAATGAGAAATTGATTTTGATTCAATGAAAATATAGAGTTGATTTTTAACAAGATGTCTGAAACACAATGTAAAATAATATTTATAACAATAATATCAGTATCTATTGTACATCTAAACCTCAAGTTTCACCACTATCAGAAGCATCTGCTCTACAACCATCACTGTAAGAACTATCTCATAATATCACAATAATCAATGATTTTAATACAGCTCCTTCTGGTGCTCATAATACCTTCAACTCAAGATAAAGAAAATAATTCCAAGTTTCTGTGGGAACTGAACTTCATCCCTGAACTGCCGCCTCCAATTGTTCCTACTCCAGTTGTTGATGCCACTCCTTGATGAGAACAAATATTTATCACAAATAAAGAACAAGAGCTACTCAAGGCGCAATTTTATAGCACTGAGATCATTACAATTGAAGAAAGGATGACATAAACTAGACAAAAAAATACACTCCATTAAGACCCAATACTTTAAATCTAATTTAATTACAGTTCAACACTTTGAGCTATGATGTATAGAAAACCTGCATTAAAGCAACAGACGAGATGTGGACTTTCAGAGGATGTTCATAGGTTAAGAGACGTGTGCATGCCAAGAGACGTGTGTACGATGAGTATCACGTGACGTGTACCTCGTGACGTATGACGTGGGTTGTATGCACGTGATATCACTCGCTCCACGTGATTGGTAGTGTAGTTAACAGTTTGGAAGCCATATCAGGTTAAAGCTTGTAGTAATTCTGTAATATAACTACTAGCAGATGACTAACGAGTCTCAGACAATAAAGTGGATAAACAGAAAATTCAGGAATCTTTGGCAGCAGCCATTTAAAAAGCAAAGTGCACTGCATACCATATTGTCTTGAGTAAAAACACACCCCTCTCTCAAATTGAAGCCTCCCTGGGCCAGGCTAGGCAATGAAATACAACATAGCTGCTACCTTCAAGTACATGTACATGTACATGTAGATACTGCATATTCATTATTAATCATTACTTAATGCTAGTAACACTGTATAGTGCTTTAACTTGGCTATTGGCGGTTTGCAAGCAGAATCACCAATAATATTAAAACATCCAATCATTAATGCACATGCTCAGTAATGCACGCGTACACAAAAAATTGCCAAATTAAAACCCATCAGTTACAATTTTACAGTAAAATTATGAAAATAAAATGCTATACGGTAGTAGCAGCTTCAGGACAATCAAGTACTGGTAAACTCCTATAGACAGATGCACTGTGATGATTTTGATGGTAGTCTAATAGTCTTTAAATGACTGAATAATCAAAAAAATTTTTCTAAAAGGATTATTTGTCGTAGAATAAAATTTAATTTTAATAAATGCTGTCCACGAAAAGTCTCCTCTCTCCTATCGATGGAAAATCAAAAAGACGTTGCGGCTATTCAAGGAAATACGATATGCGCAAGGAGCATCACGTGTCACATTAATCATTCAATGATAAAAGACAATTAATACAATTTATCATTGAATCTATACTCAAAGCAATGATATGTTTACTAACATTTTAATCATGTTTTCCATACAATCTAATCATTTACACATGTGTACTTTAAGTTAGAGTAAAATCAGATTGGCTGATTTGATAATTTGTGTTGATTGCACTTCAACTGTTTCGAGGCATTAATTTATAAGCAAGACTGGGAAGCAATTTTTAATTGCATAGCATTTAGGGTAAAATATACACAAGGATTAATTACATGCAATAAACTCTGTGTATCTTATTCCATTATTAATAGGTTGATATGACAGCCATGCAAACAATAACAAAACAATAAATTGACGTTGCTTATTGTACCATGACATTCATTATAATAAAAGTAAGGCTTGAGTTACTACAGTGTTATTAGTTAGAGTCACTTGTACTTAACAGACTACTTAAATCCTATACAATATTTATTTCTTAATTTTTAATAGCATTCATAACTTAGTATAATAAACATTGCTCCTTCTCAGAAAATCTAAACTGCTTAGGCTGCAATAAATGCTGGTAAACAACATAGTCTAAATTGAAATTGAGTTTCGAATGAAATTATATATCAATAGTTTGGGACAATGGACAGGCAATTTGTATCTACTACATAAATATTTCCTGAGGGCCAAAATTTTGTTTAATATTGATAGCATTTTACAGCCTAAATCAAGTCAACTGGTAATGTAAGGGGGGATGGGTGGGTATTTCCACATTATGTAGATTTCAGTCTTTCTATAATAATTTTTAACCAGGAATACAAGCTGCAATCTTTTGCATCACATCACCACCTTCAATACTATAGACCTCTCTAGCTGAGAATGATTTACATCACAAGAGTAAATACGACAGTGGATGTGGTAGAGAAGGAAATAAATTCCATGGACGGCAACTTTCTATGGTGAGCCAATGAGCAAAAGCGGAAAGCAAGAATCTGCTGCACATTGGACCAAATCTGTTTTATGAGATGCCTGGCAGCACCCATTCTTTCTTCCAACCAACTTTTGTAGCTTGAAAAAGTTCTAGACCAGTCAAACAATCATTTTTATAGTTTACTCTATTCCTTCTTCATTGAATCTTGCCGTCCAAAATGGCAGCCAATTATTACACTAGGTGGACACCATATCTCGAAATAATGACATGATATTCATGGCACTTGGTCATTTTTCAGCTAGAGAGGTCTATACTGGAATTTGCCCCGCCCTACTTTATAATGGCAGTATGGCATTGGCAAGACACATTTAAGGATACTAAATCTACAAATACCATCCATTCAGCTGGACAATGATAAACTTACAGGTTGTTATTAAATCTATTGGCCTCCATATTCACCGTAATTACAATGAACGCATAAAGCCTCTAGTTGGCTGAGATTCCTGTAGACGGGACGGTCCCAGCAACTTGACAATGATGAACACTGAATCTAGTAGTAATGCTATCTAGCTTCGTCCCTCGCTCCGGCCTATTATACTGTCATAGATGACTAAGCTCATGGATGATGCATCAGCTAGTCAATCAAGTCTAACTGCCGAATCAACTCCCCGGGGATGTCCCCTTGGAATCCCCGTCATAACTCTTATGCCCCCCTCAATTCATTTTCATAATTCATAATTGTCGGGGTCACGTGGGTGGCCAGTGGTACGGTTATTGTAGATTATGCTGCTGCTGAGAACATCAGTCAAGACTTAGATCTACTAGGCAGATCAACATTAGGCAATGTTTTTACAAGAAGCATGTAAAACATTAAGGGCTCAGCCCCCTATAGTATTATGTAGCTGCGTTTAATACTGTTTGCTGTATGACCTACAGCTACATGAGCAAGCAAAGCATTATTCAGAGCATTACTGATGTCTAAATAGAGTAGATGTAAAAGTAGTTATCTTGCTTATAAATTAGGCCATTCAACTACAATAATAGTTGGACAATCTGTCTGTAAATTCAAGTGATATTCATTAGTTCATTGCATTCAAGCCATACTCCATTGAGCCTAGTCTATAGCCATGCACTGTGGCAGGGCCCTCCACCTCTAGACACATTTCTCTATCATGTAAATAACTATAATTTGTCATATAATCCTTCAAGTATTGTTAACAGCAGTATTATTAATATCAATAAAAATTGTATAAGTGTATTAAAATAAATAATTGTATACATAAACTGACAAATCTACAAAAACAGAAAATAAGATTATGCATCCTATAAGAACAAAACAAAGGCACGTACAGATCATTGTGCAGCAAATGGGCTCTTTTCCAAACATAATCATTAACAAGCTCAATGGCACTCATCACAGACAATCTAGGTAGCTATGACAATACTATCCTAATTTTAGAACTTTATATCTAATAATCTTACAAGATCATGAATGAGATAGTACTGACTTATTCAAAGTATTATGCACAAGATCTTTTATAAGCACATATATAGCTAGCATGCCCTAAACTGATGTTTACTGTTATCTATTGCATGATCAGGGTTTCCCCACAGGAAATTAGCATAATGCTCATGCAGTAGGAAAAATCGTCTACTTTTATAATTTTTAATGTGTGATGCATGAAGTTTTAAACTGATTTAGATCCACTGGATTTTTAAAAATTTATTAAAGTTACTCAAAAATTGGGTGTACTATTATAGTACGGGGGTTTTGGTAAAAATTACATCAATTAAGACTATTTATACATATTTTGATGGCATACATTATCTTATATCATATAGCGAGTTTAAGTTTATTCTAACCAAAATCAAATTTTCACTTAAAATGTTCAAAAATCAGGTCAAAATCCCTGTACTATAGTTACAGGGGTTGTGGTCAAAAATTAAAAGGATATAATTTTCTATTTTAATTTTTTTGATACAAATTTTATGTTGTGTAAATGTTTTGAGCTTATTCCAAATCAATTTGAATTTTTTGATTCTTGGAAACTTTAAAATCTGGTCAAAATCCCTGTACTATGGTATACAGTGGTTATGGCCAAAAATGAAATGGAGAAAATTCTTTATTTTAATTATTTTTGCTGTAAATGTACTAATGTTGTGCAAAAAGATTGCCATGAGCTCATTTTGAGAAAATTTAGATTTTTAGGAATTTTCAAAGTTGCTCAAAATTGAGTCAAAGTCCCTGTACTAGTATAGGGGTTGTGGCCAAATTTTGTCAAAAATGAAAAGCAAAGAATTCTCTATTTTAATATTTTTTCTGATACGAATACAAGTACACAAATTATGTTTAGAAAGTTCGAGCTTATTTTGAGTCAAATTTAGATTTTTTATGATTCTTGAAAACTGCTTAAAAATTGGGTCAAAGTTCCTGTACTATAGTATTGGGGTGGTGGCCTAATTTCGTCAAATTTAAAAAAGAAATTTTTTTATCTTAATATTTTTCTAATTTTTATACGTGTACTAATGTTGTGTAGAAAGTTTGAGCTTAAGTATTCTGAGTCAATTTAGATTTTTTATAACTTTTGAAAACTTCTCAAAAATTGGGTCAAAGTCCCTGTACTATTGAATAGAACATTTCCAAACTTCACTAAAAAGTAAAACCAAACTGTGACTCGGAAATAATTCTCCAATTTTTGACACATACTCATGTTCTTATGTTTATCAAAGTTTGAGTTGATTCTGATCAAAATTAATTTTTTTAATAATTATTTCAAGCTGCTCCATAAGTCATCAAGATCCCATGAAACATGACCTTTAGCTCACTTAGCATGCTTTTGGGGATATCTTAAGTATGGTTATGAACAACCTGAAAATAAATGGATAAAGACAGAGAGCCTGGTTACAATTGACTAAGATTTAAAAATAGCAAAAAAATTGACTTAATTAAGATAGCTTGAATTCTAAAAAATATTTGTACAAAAACAATGCATGCACAGCTACCGTATAGCGGAAAATTTTTGTGGCCCAAAATTTTCATGGATTTTGTTTTTTTTTAACCCACAAAAATCAATTCTATATGGTTTAAGATGGCCAAAATGTAGAAAACCACAAAAATTAAAGCCATGAAATTGATTTTTGGACGGATCCACGAAAATTTTTGGCAATAAAAATTTTCTGCTATATGGTACATGTACATAAGGTATGACCCTAAAAATAACAAATTAATCTGCAACTAATTGAGTGAAGTATAATCCATAGTTACAGTACAAACACACTTGGCTCTTATTATGTAATTTTATCCTGTTTGTAATTACCTGTAGGAAGTACAATACATACACTACACACATATACACATACACTACATTCAACAATCTTGCTGTCCACATTTGCCCAGTCTTTAATCATGCTTTTTGATGTGATATCAAGCCATAAATATTAAACCTTTCTATTCCTTTCAACAAGGTTGAAAGAAAGATCAAAGGCTGCATGCCCATAACGTATGTTGGGCTTAAGGCCAGTACATGAATATAATTAGAAATTTAATTATTATCATTTACTATGATTATCATTTACTTTGTACCTATGTACTGTGTTGCTATGACAGCCAAAGAGGAGATGAGGTCAAAGTGCAGCTAAGATAAGCAATCATAATTATTATTGTTATCAAGTTGTAAAAATACATTAATAAGGACAATAGTATCAGCATACATTGTAACTCATGGTGCAGGTGTGATAATAATTAATGCTTGTAGACAAGTAGATAAGGAGGTTTCAGTTTCATTTCACAGTCAAAAATCAGTTTTTTCTATGCATACCCAATGACAAATTTATACCCTTAAATGAACTAACTACACAATAATTATTGTATCAAGACTAGTTGTAGGCCTACATACTATATAGCAGTCTATTGCTCATGGAGCTGTTGTTCCTAGACATTAAAGGTGCCTCACTTATACTGGCTTCTTAACGTAATTATAAATAGTCAATAAATGAATGTAATAAGGTACAAAATTAAATTGTTTACATTGAATTTACAAAAACATGACCATAATAATCTGTTAGTGTGACTGGTATATATTTAATTAAATAACATTATACACACATTCAAGCTAAAATAAAATTAAAAGTATACATAAAAATCAGCAAGTTGTACCTTTTAATTCAACAAACGAGAGTCAATTTCTAGTTCAGGGTGTCTTGACCATTCATTCCACGAACCAAAATAATTCTTGATGTTCTTAAATCCGGCCTCTTTCAATGCTAATAACGTATTAGAAGCTCTTGCTCCTTTAAAGCAATAGACAATCACATTCTGCTCTGGTCTAATGCCCTTTTGAGCACACATTTCTCTTATGACTTCAGGTGCTTTAAAATGACAGGAACCATCACTTCTCTTCTCCATGAAGTCCCTCCACAGTATGTGAACTGATCCCGGTAGACGACCTTTTTGTGGAGTAAAGGATACACCGTAAGGTGAAGAGGACTCTCCTGTCCACTCCTCTATGTCACGTACATCCAGTAGCACAGCATTTTGTTCCCTGATTGCTTCTGCAACTTCATGCATATCAGCCCATACATGATTTGGAGACCATTTTGCTTTAAAGGACCCTCTTTGGACTTCATCCGAGTCTGTACTGGTTGGATATCCTTCAGCAATCCATCTGTCCAGTCCACCCTCAAGTACTGAAACGTTTTGATGTCCAAGGAGTTGGAGTAGGCACATTCCTCTGCAGCTAGCACCGTAAAGGGAGTCTAGGGAGTTCTCATATGTCACTACTCTCTCTCCAATTTCTCCATTTATCCCTGCCCTCTGAAATGAATCAGTAAAAGTATCGACCAGTTTCTTCACTCCAGGCTCATCGCTTGTGGTAAGGTAGGTGAATATCTCGTGGCAGTTGGCAGCGGTGGGTATGTGGGCAGTCGAGTACTGCTCGGGGCTTCTGACGTCCAGTATTCTTATATTCTCTTTTCCGCCCTCCTTCTCAGCCAGTGATAAGGAAGAATGAAGAGAAGAAGGTGTGATAAAAGTTCCTGCATGTCTACACAGGACACCTCGGAGGACAGAAGCACATCGAGAAGGTAACATATCTAGTCTCTTCACAGGAGAAAAAGATATAATAGATGAAAGCTTTACCCTCTAGACATGATGCGTCTTAGTTCACTACTTCACTTATATAGCATAGCTAATAGAGGAAATAGAAGGGATTGGTAACATCCGCGTGGGCGTTATTATTTACTTCAAAATAATTTTCATTTCATTCCATTATTATTCTCTTTATTTTAACCTACTATTTATCCTTGTCTTGTTTTGTTTTTAATAATTACAATTTGAAATATTTCTTTTAAATTTAGATAGAGCTACATCTAGTTTTAAATGAATAAAAATTTTGTCATCAAAAAGTAACAACAATTTTTGCTATCAAAAAATGAAAGCAATCAAGCGCAGGAAGCCAGGAACATCAATGCATGCAGATACATGTGTCTTTTGGACCACCCCAATTACTGCAGGCTGGGAAATGGTCTGGCTTGTGAGAATACTTTTGAGCTGGAGCCTGGTGTACTTCGTTTTTAGCCTCCATTCATGTGCATGTGTATTTAGTGCTAATTATTATCAGATATGTAGATCTACTTATAGGATCAAAATTTGCTTAATTACATGTGGGCTATTATGCATAATGGGTTGTTTTGATTATCATAACAAAATTAATATAAAGTATATATTATAACTTTTTGGGTATAAAAACATTTCATAATTTTTTGTGATTTGTGGTTAAAAGAGTACTCACTGAGCTGTATGGTAAGCATCATGCATGTGTTGATTATCTCCATTATGAATACAGCAATAATAATTTATGCATGCAGATCTATTTCGCTAAACATGAAATACTTCACTTTTTTACTTCTTAGGAAAATAAAAGTGCATTGATCGTTTAAATAATAATTAACTTTTAGGTACCACAAATGAGTGTTTACTGCATACTTGTTGCTGATATTCAAGAAGCATATGAGTTAAAGCCACACAAATTGCCACCAACTAAGACAGTTCAACCAAAAACAAACTGGCCTCATTATGTTGCATTCGATTATGAATTCAGAGGAAAGGTCACAAAACAGCTTAATTTTTTAACTAAGGATTCCAGTATAAGATTAACTCCTTGTGGTACATCTGACTTTCAGTATTGGGTACTAAGCCCTATTACTACTGCTTTTGATACTGTTGTTCTGCGAGAATTAGATAAGATAATTGCATTATCACACACATGTTTCATAGATGCAACGTTAAGAAAATAATGATTTGTACACCTGGTAAAATACTTAGTAACGCTACTGCATTACTAATAGTTAATGTCTCATTTATGAATGTATTAACACAAGACATTGCAATTTTGTCATGTGTTGTTGTTGCTGATGGAACAGCTACAATAAAAGTCAATATCTACAATACATTTATTTGCTAATTCAAGTGAATTATTTGATGCTAATTGGAATAGCTATATGAAGGAAAATATTTACAATATGTATCATTGCTAACTCAATAAATTATTCATGCTAATTTGCTATTTTAACAGGCTATAAAGGTATTATTGTGCTTTAACAGGTCAGGAACTTTAATTCTTTTTTTAGTCTAAGTGTTAAGATTTTTCCTCACATTTCCTACAACTAGTGGAAAAGCTCTTAATATTCTCATTTTTAAACTAAATATAATGAAAATATTAATCACCCTATTGGTTATAGCAAAAAAAAATGTAATATCTGTTGTAATATGTATGACATATGTGTGCATGTAATTAGTAGGTTGTGTATTTTGTGTTAATTAGTATTTACGTAAACATATGCTTTTAATTAATGTATGATCTCATGTTCCTATGGCCTTATGCCCTCTTTTGTGTAACGTACAATGAGCTGGACAGCTCTGTCCAGCTCATGACTCACTTGTCTACTCCATATGGACCTTTTGTTAGTTACCTGTGTACAATAGTGCATGTCCTTATTTCTTTGTTATGTTTTAGTATTTAAGTTCTGTAATCTTAGAGCAGTTTTATTCTCTTTTTGTTGTCAAAGTATCTTAACTTGATCTCTGCTAATCTTACTATGTGCAGCAATTCTAGCTAATCGCTATTGTAGTGCTGATTCTCGATAATATCTAAACTGAGAAACATTATTATTTTTCCAACTATTAGACTACTGTTACAAAGAAAACAAAATATTTCTCACTGACAACTAGGCTACTTGTTTGTGATCAAAATTTACAATGATACTGTGAAATTGTACAAAAGCTTTCCAAACAGATGACTAATAATCTTTTTCTTCTCTATTTTCCTCAATGAGTGGTGGCAAAGACTCATATAAATCATCCTTTTTATAAAAATTACAACATTTTTGTTTCAATAGTTTTCTAATCCGGCGATTTTGATTAAGACCAATGCATATATGGTAACCTAATATAATGCAGCAGAGCACTCCTCCACAACTAATAGATACACTCGCAACAGTTTCAATGGCACTCAGACTACTGGCTGACGAGGAGACTATTAGGTTTGCCAAGAGGATGATGCCAAATAATATTTCTAGTCCATTATGGATCTTATTTTTGTATGGTTTTACAAGGCACAATCCAAGAACATAAAACCCGGTTACAACTGTGAAGATTAGCAATAGCAGTGTAGTGTTGTTGCTATCAAGTGATGCTGATATGATATGCACAAGTGTACGTATGATCAGCATTAGACCAAACCAATACCTGTGCTTATCCTTGTAAGGACCATGGAGTGCTTCAATGAATGGACGTAAGTACATGGCCATGCATCGGAATCGAAACAGTTTAACACCAAACAATCCAAGGAGTATAAAAGGAACAACAAAAAATATAATGACAGCAATACTGATGCATATCAATATGATATGAACTGGGTCCCTCCCATATAAAACACTGCCATCAGTGAACCAAACTAATCTACTGGAGGTGCTACCATCAGGGCTTAACTGGTGTATACGAGCTGGAGTGAGTACATTAAGCGAGAGAGAAAGAAGATTTGAAAATGATATAAACATTAAAGTCATTAGGACTTGAACCGAGGATCCTACAGTGAGATTAGAAACCTTTGTTGAACAGCGACTGATTAGGATTATAATTATGACCAAGAGCCATAAATAAAATGAGAAGCTATACTCAATGAACATTGTATCCATAGCATTGAAGCCATTCCATACACATAGTGGTATTTGTAAACTGTATATTGTGAATGAAATTCCATATATGAAGTACCTAAAGATGTTTTTATGTGTTACTAAGAGCGTAAATGATGGTGTAAGACTTACGACATCAAACCATAATACCAAACCACCTATTGTTCCTTTATTGATGGTGAATTTAAAACAGAATAGAAGCACAACATACAATATGCTTGTGACAACAATGACTGCTAGTAAACCAACATTTTCGATATCATTGTTGCAATAATGACAGTCGTAAGAAAAAAGAACTTTGCTATATCCTTCCTTGCATTGTCCACACAATATGCCAGCATGATTACTCATGCATATATCATCAATTTGTGTTACATTGATGTTCCATGTGTCAGTCCTACAGTATCCAGGAGGGCAATGAGGACAGTACTCTAGTTTTGATTGATTTTTTGTATGAACTAGACCCAACCAAGACGCTTGAGGGATTAATACTTTAGTATTATCAATTTTACATTGAGTGATGCCAAGGGCTTTAAGAAAAGAGCTACATGTGCAACGCTTGGTTTTATTATTATAAACAAATCCAAGTGGACAATTCAGTTGTTCTAGTTTGACAAATGCCACAGAAAAATAACCAAACACTGCAAACCGTAGTGAAATATCTCGCTCTGTATTGTTTACAGCAGGAAGTATTTGAAATTGAAGAGGAGTGCAACTGTTACTGTACACAACCTGTGTACGGTGTTTAGGATTGAGCTCATTTGATATGTCCATGTTGTATTTGAGGAAACTTGTTTTCAAAATCCTCGTAAGTGTTGTCAAAACCTGCGCATAACTTGAGATATTGTTTAGATCAACAGTTCTAAGTCCAATGGTGAGTGTTTGCCCAGGATAAAAATTGTAACTAGTTTTAACTTTGTTCACTCCACTAATTGAGCATAATTGTGTCTTAACTGCTACTGATGCTATCTCATTAGTTGTCCAGTTGCTATTAGTAAAGTATGTTAATGCATTATAGAGTACACTTGTATTAAATGGAGAGTTTAACTGTTGACAATCATACGATGGAGACACATACATTGAGTTACCAGCTAGTCCAGCAGTATTATTGATGAAATGTAGTTTTATGTTTATGTCGGAGGCATTCGTTTTATTACTGTATATTTGAATCGCACAGAGTGAATTTGATAATGGCAAGTTTCTTTCGACATAAGAATAAATAGCCCCTCCATATGAAAAGGCCTTGTTTCTGATAAACACTGCATTTAATGGTTCAAGTAGAAACATATGTGATGATTGATCAAGTCTTATAGCACCTCCATTAGTTGCCCTATTGTTCTCAAACAATATGTCACCATACAAATAAATGTCAGAGTTGCAAGCCAGTATTACTGACCCAGTAATGTATTTCATAATGTTATTACCATAAATAGTGACATTGGCTATATTGACAAAGACCATCTTCCCAATGTTGTCTACTCTTTTTGGTACAAGCTTCCAGTTTGTAGTACCTACTGTGAATGATTTTAGTTCTAACAGAAGATTCTTCTGCTGATTCTTTCCATTTTCTGTTACTTTTGCAAAAATGATTGATGAGCGATAGCCAAAATGACTTCTCTTACAGTAAATATTTTGCAAAGAAATGGACACGTATGCCTCAATATTAGAATCAACAATAACATGAAAGAATATATGATCATAGGTAGTGTCAGCAAGCTGTTTTGAAAGTGCATCATAATGGAATTGAAATAAACTGTTTTTTATACTAAGAAAGCTCCACTTCTTTTTAATGCCAATTTCATTTCTTTTGTACCTTGATCCTACAATACACCCAATAACGCCAACTTTTGAGTCTATGAGCTTGTTTTCAGTAAAGGTTACATTCTCAAAAGCTACAGTGGTCCTTCCAATGGGTGCATCTCTGGCTATGATGGCTATGTTATACAAACTGTGATAACAACCATCCCACACACTCTTTTCAAAAAATATGGATGCTTGATAGTTTCCTTCACTGAAGAGTACTGCAGTACAAGAAGCAAAACTATTGACTGCTTTTGGATAGGATGATGAAGACAAGGGTCTGTTAATGTCAGTATTGTCATTTCCTTGAAGGTCTATGTGAGATATGATGGCTGTAACTGGTTCATTAGTTGTGTAGTTTGAGAAGTAGAGAAGTAGTCCAGTCCCACCACCAGCACAGTTTGTATCAATGTCACAATACACACTGCTGTATATTTTGACTGAGATGACAGCTAGGCTCTTGTAGTGATTGATGTACACAATTCCATATCCATAAAAATTACTAATGGATACATTCTGAAGTAAAACGTCTGCTGAATGACTAAAAAGGAGTGTTGAAGACTGACCTTTGGGAAAATAGAACGAATTATCATGACTAGGATAAAGCCAGGCTACAGAAGGCATTGTCCCACCACACTGGTGTATGTTAACATTCTCAATTCGTAGCCCACTAGAGTTATAAAAGCCAAGACCAGTGGGCTCTGAACAGGTAATAGTGGCTGGGACATTGGTTGATGCACTCAATATTGTGATATTGCTAACACCACTAACCAAACAAAAGGAAGAATTAGCCATGTTCAAATCATAAGATATGTTTGCTAAGAGACATAAGTGAGTACCTGGCTGTAGAAGTGATCTTCCTTTTCCACAGAGATGATAAACCAATGAAGTTGAATTTGTTAAATAGACACATTCATCACTGCCACTTACATTTAGTGACACTAGTATAACAGTCAGTAATAGTTTGTAAAGCATCTGCTTGCAGCAGGCCATGACTGTATTATGCTCCAGTTTGTTTTTGCTCAGCAACAATCATTGTATGGCAGAATGTTGCTTTTATGCTACGTTGCAGTGAATTAGTTTCAACATGTATGCATACATGCACATAATTCCACACGTCAAATATGAAAACATAGTTGTTAACTCGTTATTGTTATCACCATTGTCTAATAACTTGTTTCAAAATGTCTAGCATATTACTTTTGTATGAAAAACAAAACTTGTTGACAATTTTTAGAACAATACCGTTATAAATATAAAGAGATAAACAGGAAGAGTAAGTATTAGAAGCATACCTTTACAATTTAATTTTACATTAATGTTTATATCAACATTATTATGCATAAATGTACATAGTTTGTTACAAACAATAATAATGATGAATTAAAAATATTAAAATGTCATCAAATTTGTACAGTACTTTTATTAACACAATTAGATCTATATGAGAAGAGGGAGAAATTAAATTATTTAATGCACAATTTATGCATTGATTACTTGAAGTCCTTTAATTTCTTCTATTACATTAATGAAGCATATTGAGTTAGTTGGACCAGAAACTTCACCTTGTCTGACTATTAAAAAATAAAATTTGATACTGTTTGTTTCAACAGCAATAAATTTAATTAGAATTATTAATTCAATTTTGTAAGGATAACAAAACAGTGAATCATTGATGCAGGCCATGTACATGCAGAAAATATGAAACAGTGCACCTAGCTAGACGAAGGTCAAACATTAAGGGGCCTGCCCTTTAGCTACAAACTGACACAAGTGTACTGTACTAACTAATATACAAGATACAAGTACACTCAAACAGAACTACTTTATTAGTAAAGGATTCACCTGTGGTCAAATACACTTAAGGTGCTTGATAATTGAGATGCCACCGGGACTCATAAACCAGAAATAGTAGCAATACAAGCACCTTTATACATGTACATGTAGCAGTAGCAGATTTTGTAGGGTTAATTTGTTGAATGACAATTACTGAGTTATGAGTTACAACAGCCCTCACGTCAGTAGCCTTAATTCTGCCATATGATGCTAGATTATCTTCCACTAGCCAGGTGCCTGTATCCTTCACAGAACCATTGACACAAGATAAATTTTTCAGTTCAGACTAGGAAGTATTGTCTGACACAAAATAGCATGGAGATGACATTTCCTATTTGTAGAAGGGAGGGCATGAATAGATACAGGTATCATGAGGTATGTTTGAGGAGTGCCACAAAACTAACCTCCTCTGAAGACGACACTGGCTCCAAGGAGAACTTGGCCAAGATCACCACCACTTTGTTTCAGGCAATGATTCCAAGCAGTGGAACTGAGAAGAGTAGCAGCTGTACCAGTATCAACAAGAAAGCTGTAAGGTTAACTAAACAATGTAAAAGGATAATGAAATGTGAGTGCAGAGTTCACTGGAGATATAATAAATTGCCAAGGTGGGGCCACATTGATAAATAACTTGCTAAAATCTAAAAATACCCTAAATGGCTCATAAATCATGACAAATTTTTATTATATTTTTGATACGTATTGATGTCCTTATGCTATGTAGAACGTTTGAGCTAATTCTAACTCCATTTTTTCAAATTATGGCTATTTTTAAAATTGGCCAAAATCTGAAAAATAACCCTGTATTATAGCCCATGCTTTTTTCCCAAAAATGGCTCCAAAATCACTCCAAATTTTTAGTACACTTTTTTGGTACATATTGATGTCCTTATGCTAGGTATAAGTTGGAGCTAATTCCCACTATTATTTTTCAAGTTATGGCCATTAAAAAATTATTATGCCAAAATATACTGTTATAGCCCATGTTTTTTCCCAAAACATGGCTCCCAAATCACCACAAAATTTTATAACATTTTATGATATAATGTCCTTAAGCTATGTAGAAAGTTTGAGCTAATTCTGACTTCAATTTTTCAAGTTACGCTTATTTTGAAAATTGGCCAAAATCTGAAAAATACCCATGCCTTTTTCCAAGAAAATGGCTAAAAAATTACTTTAAATGTTTATTACATTTTCTGATTATATTGATGTCCTAATGCTATGTAGAAAGTTTGGGGTGATTCCAGCTTAAATCTTTTGAGTTATAGCCATTTTTAAAATAAGCCAAAATCTGAAAAACACCCAAGGCTATAGCCCATGCTTTTTTCCGAACAATGGCTAAAAATTAACCCCTAATTTTTATCACATTTTTTGATACATATTGCTGTCCTTATGCTGCATAAAAAGTTTGAGCTGATCCAGACTTAAATTTTTAAAATTACAGCCATTTTAAGAAACGTGCCAAATTCTAAAAATATCCAAGGCTATGGCTAAATAATGGCTAAAAAATCACTCCCAATTTTTATTACATTTTCCAATACATATTGATGATTATAGCACTAATTAAGTATAGAGATTTCAAACTTACATAAAATTTTAACGTTTTATCAATACAGTATATGTACACATACAATGTTTCTTAATTCTTACCACTGGTTATCAGGTGACTTAATAACTAGCTCCACCCACACATAAAGACCGAATTGTGTATAGACCTCTTCAGGTGAGATTGACGGTGGCCTATGAATATCATTACTGTTTATTACGGTATCCACCTACGGTGATAATTGGCCGCCATTTTGGACGGCAAGATTCAATGGAGGATGAATGAAGAAAAGGCAAAACTGATTCTTTTCGTTGGCATGGAGCTTTTTCAAGCTACAAAAGCTGGTTGGAGGAAAGAATGGTCGCTGCTAAGCATCTCCTAAAAGGGATTTGGTGCAATATGAAGCATATTCTTTAATAGAGCTTGCTTTCTGCATTAGCCCATTCATACTCCATAGAAAGTTGCCGTCCACGAAAATTATTTCAGAGTCAGCCAGGCTCAGTCACGCCCCTTGCCGTATATCATTCTTTGACGTAATTCATTCTCACCCAAAGAGGTCTATTGTATGGGGAAGAAGACATCAACAGGTTTCTTTTTGTTAGGAGAGGGTTTATCATTTGACGAAAATAAACGAAACAATATTCCTTTTGTACAAACTAAAAGAACAGAGTTCTACAGGAACGTTACCGTATAATTATAATAACTAATAAACTGACTAGATAGTCTACTTATTGTTTGACTGAATTAGTTATATTATTATTGTTATACTTACATCTATATTAATTGTTGGTAGCTTTACTGTTCCTCCAGTCTTGATCTATCCTGCACTCAATTTATATGATTTTACCGCGGATTTTACTATCTATGACTAAAGTCACTGCGAGGCCACTTGTCATGCATGGGCGTGGTCTTGCATGGGTGTGGCTATCAATACTTTGAATTTGCTAGCTTTAAGGTGTGGCTCGTTCTTAGCAAATTTTTAGATTACTTGTTTTCGACTTGTTCTCATCTAGTCTCGCCTAGTTCTAATCTTGTTCTCATCTTGTAATGGCCTCCATCATGATCACAGATACCACCGTTCTTGGTTAGTAATAATATTATTTCTGTTTCTCAAATCTCTGCTTTCAGATATTACACATCTTCAATTAGTTCTGTCTAAGTTAAAACATTTTTCTAAAGCCAAATGGAAGGACTTTGGTCTTAAGTGTGGCCTTTACCACAACACATTAGAAGCAATACAAGCTAATAATGCTGGTAAACCTAGACCTGCTGAAGAATGCTTCAGGGACTGTGTTGCTCGCTGGCTGAGGAGAGAGGATAATGTTAATGAAGAAGGTGAACCAACTTTACAGAGATTGGCTGATATAGTGGAAAACATCAAGTGTGAGGATAATCATAAAAGTCAGTGATTTATTTGTACTTTCAAAATATTATGATTTTTTTGGCTACAGAGCTTGTGCCTGATACTCCTGCACAAAATTTCACGATATTATGGTGGATCATTTTACCAGTGTCAGTAGTTGTAGCAATAATTTCAATTATAGTAATATTAATGCATGCATCATCAAGTACAACAGCAATTGATGAATATGCATTCGAATTACGTGATGAATATAATGAGAATCTGACAAGGTTTAGAGATCCAGATGAGAATAAATTCCCAGCTGCTGGTCCATCTTTTCATGATTATGTCCCTTTTATACCTTTGAAATTAATCAAGGTGGAAAGACACAGTACAGAAAATGCAGAATTCTTTAAAAAAGCTTCTGTTGAACAAATATTAGAAAAATTTGAAAGTATAGAAATTCACCATATTTTGAAACCACTAAAAGATAAACAGCTAAGATTTGTATTAATTGAAGGAGAGCCTGGCATAGGAAAGAGCACATTAGCTAAAGAACTAACATTGCGATGGGTTAGACAAACAGATGAATATTTAAACAATTTTAAAGTTGTCATTTTTATTGCATTGCGCCATGAAACTTATCAAAAAGCCAAAACTTTTGAAGACCTTCTCATTGATGTTGAAGATATTAATATGACTGAAATAGCACTATCAATCAAGAAAACAAAAGGAGCAGGTGTACTTTGGGTATTAGATGGTTTTGATGAGCTTCCACATCAATTAAGAAGCAATTCAACTTCAATATTCATTAAACTTATAAAAGGAGACATTCTTCGCAAGTCAACAAAGATAGTTATAACCAGACATGCTGCTAGTTTCCCTCTGTATACTTATTTAGAACATAATTCAAAAAGTCTTTATATTGTAGGCTTTAGCCCAAATGAAACCAGAAAATATGCTACAAAATATTTTGAAAGTAATAAAACATTAGCTGACGAATTTCAGTCTTACTATAATCGCAATACTATGGTTGAGAGTATGCTATACAATCCAATGAATTGCTTCATAATGTGTACAGTTTTTAATGATTTTATACGAACTGATAACAAAAAATATCCAAGAACAATGACAGAAATTTATAATCATTATGTTTGTATATTACTCAAACGACACCTCATTGATAAGAAAGTAATTGAAATACGCTATAAAATGCCTCGACATTTAATATGCAAAATGGACTTTAGTATTTCTGAATTAGCTCAATCCAGTACTTGGAATCAATTCTATTTTCTCTCTGAAATAGCTTACAATGGCTCAATGAGACAGGAATATATTTTTAAAAATGAGTTTCATAACTTGAGTATGATCACTCTTGGTATGATGGACACTAATATTGGCTTCGCTGGGTTCGATGAAGATGAATTCAGCAGTTTTATACACACTACACTACAAGAATACTTTGCAGCAATTTATCTTGTCAATAATCCAGACTTCATGTTTACTATAGAAGACTTAAAGCAAAACTCAAATCTTGAAGTTGTTCTTACTTTCTACGTTGGATTATTGAAATTACTTGAAAGAAAAGTTGATAATGAAACAATGAATATAATACTGAATCATGACGATGACATATTAAACTATATCGAAAAAGTGTCAAAACATCATAATGAGATAGATAGCCACATTACTGAAATAAAGAACCATTTAATCAATGGAATGGCCTGTAAAGATGCGGAAAGTGACATAACACCATATATTCAGCTTACAAGTTTAATGCTCAGGTGCATGTATGAACAAGATTCACTATTACAAAATAGAGGCTATATTCTTAAAAAATATTTGTTGTCACACTATATTCAAAGGAGTAAGTCTAAATCAACACAAGTATATTTACACATAAAGGATTTTGATTATTTTATTTGTGGCTATATTGTTGCTACTCACAATATTACACTACAGTTTGAACCTTTCAGCTCATCTGAAATAATAGCTTTTAAGAAAGGGCTCCAATCCCACCCCTCTGTCAATGGAAAGATAAAAATTAGAATTTACAATACTTCTATTGAGGGCATGATCACAGAACTACTTACTATACCAATTGATATGGTAACAGGACTACAATTAGCTACAAACGATAACGTCTCAGCTTGCCAAATAATTTCAAAATTTTCATCATTGCAAGAAATTACTTTTCCATTTTTTAATAACTTGCACTGTAATTCAGTCATATCAAAGCATCCTTTACTGAAACTTAAAAAGCTAAAAAAGCTGATAGTAAGAATTGAAAAAGCAAGTAAAAATGCCTTTGAGTTACTAAAACAATTTACTGCTCGTGGACAACCTCTTAAACGACTACACATATGTGTAGTGGGTGCTGAGAATATACAGATTTTGAATTTAATTGAAATGCAGTTCTCATTGGAAGTACTGAGAATTGAAGTATCAGTTTTGAGTTTAAATCCTAGGTCATGGGGACTTGCATTTAATTTTCAATACCTAAAAGAACTTAATGTCAAGCTGAAATTCATTTGGTGTAAAAGCAATAACAGTTTAAAAGTTAATGATAATGAACTGCTTGCTGAATACATAGGCGTCAGCAAAATACAGTTGAATTCTTACACCTCATTTATACATTACAGAGACAGAATTGTTGCAGCTACAATATACTCGAGCTCTGAACCAGTGACTTCTGATCTAAGTGATTTTATTAAGTATTTCCGTAGCTACAGATCTTTTTTGAAGACTAAAAGGCTTACAGCTAAAGATTTAAATCGTAATTTAAAAACTCGAATAAACAAATTTATTTATGCTATGATTTCGCCATCAACAGATCAAAACCAATTTGTCTCCTTTTTCTAAAATTTTGTTTTTAAAAGTCCTATTAGATGATTGTAAATTTAATCAACTTAAAAAAATTATTGCTAAACTGTTAGCCTGAATCAGGCTGAATGAACCTCACTTCAGATTCAAAAATTCCAATTAATGAATTAATGGATGATACAATCTCACTAATAACAGATCAAAACTATTTTTATATTATTTTTATTATGGTACTAGCCATGCATAAAATTTACTTTATTTTGATTATTACTACTATAGTTTATGAACCTTGCTTCTTACTAAGTGTCTCTGTGTTTATTATTAACATTAATTATATAGTATGTAAACTAGTAATGTTTTTATATTAATGTTATTAATATTTTGTCTTAATGTTGCTTTCAATGTACTCCATGAGTTATCAGGGAGGGAATCTGGAGGAAGGGAGAGAGAGGGAGGAGAGGACTGGTGGAAGGAGAAAAAGAGACACAGAAGGAATTAAATATTAAAATCAAACCTGTATACATACTTTCAGTTGGGATCTTCCCTTTTAGTATATCTTGATAATTATTCTAAAAGAACAGTAACATAACAATAATTGTAACAGTTTTAATATTCACACACTTACATATAATTATAAATGGGTTACATATTTCTAACAATCTTGCAATATCTTCACAAGATGATTCACTGAATAATAATTTATTTACTAACATAACATGATTGCTTCACTCATTTTAGCCTTGAAAAGATAGGGAAATAGACAAAAGGAAAAGGAACACTAAATTAAGACAGCTAGTCAAGCACCTCAAAATAGCACTACTACTATTGTTAAGCCACGGTGGGCTACCATGGAAAAAGAGACATTGCATTTTTTGTGTAGACTTTTGATTGACCTTTTCATGCATTTTTATATGCAAGACTGCTCTTGCTATTATACATGTACCCTTTTACACTAGTATCTCATGTACACTTGGTGATTTTTAATTTTTTACTATGATCACTCACAGTTGCTAGTGATTGTATTAACTTGAATTTAGTTGATAGTAATCCTCATTATAACTAATTGAAGAGGCAGGCCATCCTTTTCGCCAATTTGTTATCAATACAAATAATAATGAATAAACTAATGAGCTACACTTTAACTTTAGAAAAACTGATCTATCTGAAGATATAGAGAAGAAAGAATAATGACTTATTTCACTTATTAATATTAATATTTTCCACATCACATGATTCTCGTTCATTTTGCTTTTAATCTTTAAATGACTTAAATACATCACATGACAATCACATGATCCTAACTCACAACTCAAGTGTGTGTCTTTGATCTGATTTAAAATTCATTACCAGCCAGTTCTTGACAGGAGAGGGTGAATGAGGTGACACGATATCAGTGAGACATCATGCCAGCATTAACGTTGATTTTGATATGATATTACTATCAGCATTATGATATGATCAGAGCAATGCATTGATACTATACCAGCTATCAATACCTGTAGATACTAATAATAATAGTAATAATAATAGTAATCTATTATTAGTAACAATCATTCTATTTATAGTAACACATTCTATTTATAGTAACCTTGTCCTCATCATTTGAGAAAAATAAAAGAAATGAAACTCCTTATTTATAAACTGAAAGAACTGAATTCTATAGGGACAGTTATAATAATTAATAATAAATAACAATAAACTGACTAGTAATTGTTTGACTGCTTCTAGTAACCGTCCTTTAGCTAAAATTAAACTATTAATTCCTCCATCTTCTTTCTTCTCCTCCTCCTTTTTTGCTATGCCCACTTTACTGCCAGAAGTCGACAAATAATAATTAAGAGATGACAGTAATAGATTAATAGCAACTGCAGCTCTATCATGAGACAATTGTAACAGCTATATATACAGCAAAGATGAGAAAGAAAAGGTGAGTCCTGACTCCTGATATATTAATGAAGCATATTGAGTTAGTCAAATCAGAGACTCCACCTTGAAAAATAACATTTGATATTGCTTGTTTCATGAGCAATAAATTTATTTAATTACAATTATTAATTAAATTTTGTATGGAACACAAAACAGTGAATCACTGATGCAGGCCATGTACATGCAAAAAATATGAAACAGTGAATCTAACTAGAAGTAGGTCAAACATTAAGGGGCCCTGCCCTTTAGCCATGCCCTGACACAAGTGTACAAACTAACATACATGATACATGTACATACAAACAGAACTACTTGGGTTCACCCAACTGAATCGCCTATAATTGAATACATCACATTAAAGTAATCTTTGAAATGGTTAACTTTGCAAGCAAAAATTGCACATTGACCGCTATAGCTCAAAGACAGAGTTTTAAAGAATCAGTATCAATGTCCATTAGACTATTGTGAGATTCAAAATGATATTCCAATAAAATAAAAGACGAAAAAGGTGCACTTTGCACTTATTTTGCTATAGAGATGAAGGATGTGAATAAAGGATTACTTTCATTAAAAGTACAACCAATTATGATTATAACTATCAATTCCTCTATCCTGTTTGAAATACATAAAGCTGCAACTGGTGCCGTTTTTAATGTACCATCAGTAGAGTAACAATCACTAATTGTGATATACTGACTGTGTATTGACACTGTACATACAACATTATCTGTTAGCTGTGCCAGTGAATGCATAATTGAAGGTTGTTTAAACTAATGGAGAAGTTAGCTCTAACAGTCCTCTGTCAAATGATTGGCAGTGAACAAGTGTGATATTGCTCCTGATGCCATTTTCCCATCACTAATTTATGTGATGAAAGATTTAATTATAATACTACTTTAGAATAGTCTCCATCTAGTATTGACTGGCAATGAGGAAATGGTGCAGTAGAAACTGGTAGAAATAGATGAGAACTCAAAAAGAAGAGGAGAAAGAGAATTCTCTTCATGTCTGATTGTATATATATACAAGCAATAGAACAGTAGAATTGACTGGCGCTGCAATAACTAATAATTATGCTATAGAAACTGTAGAATATTTACTGAACAGAACAACAAACAGAGGCTGATTTATTATTGGCTCTAGCTTGTAGACATATCTTGTTCTTTGAGATATAGTAACAAGCTAGAGTAGCAATAGTTGTATAAACTGACAATAGTTTGTATTGTAAAAAAATAAAATACACACAATATAAAGGTTACCACTCATACAACTAGATTATTATCACACTATTTATATTAACTATATAGATACACTCAGTTATTCAATATACTTTCACGTTTCATGATCACTGGTGGTTCACCATCTTCTTCAATTGCTTGAAAATCAAAGAGACCAGCTGTCCGCTTTTTAGTGACATTAACATAGTCATCACTAATAGTGTAAGTTGTCTTGTATTGATCTATTGGTGTATCTATGAACGAACGTCTCTTGAATCGTCTCTTCGTCTTTAGACAGGCTTTGTGAATACAAGGTACTTTATTGAGTAGTATGCTAGCAAAGATTATAGTATAACAGAGTGGAGGTAAGACAGCTAACGTATAGACCATCAGTGTGATCATAGTAAGAGGTACATCTGCATCATCAGTCCTGTAGAGTAGGTTAATGGTATACAATACGTATATATCAAAGAGAAGGATGGTGTCTGCTATATTAAACCACATGAAACTGTACGGCTGTATGATGAAATGAGCCAATGAGACACAGAGGAATATAGCAACTGCTATCAGGAAAGTGGAGTTGTACTGAAAAAAAAACGAAATAAAGATCCAACTGGTAAAATAAACAGAGCAATACCAGCGCCATTTGTCCTTATAAGAAGAATGGAACACATCAAGTATTGGCTTTATACGTATAGTATTGAACTTCCTTGATAAGAATGGTGACACTGCCATAAATACAATGACAGCTATTACAACAATAAGGAGTGGAATAGCTATGAGCCACACTAGGGCATAATATGAACGAATGTCAATGTTTGGATCAATAAAGAAGCGATAGCTATTACCAACTTTGAGAGGAAGCAACAAGCTAATACTTGTCCTTGCTATTGACCAGAATGTAACGAGTGCTAATAAACATATGGCTTGAAGGGGATTATCAAATACTTTATTGGAGTAACGTGGACAACAGTTTGTGACTATAACTATAGTGATTATCATTCCAATGATGACAAGTGGACCAATGTAATTCAATAGCTGCTGTCCTACACCGGTAGATATTGGAGTACAGACTGGTATGAAACCCAAGATTCGATTATCAAAAATTATGAGCGAAAGGAATGAAAAGAACCCCCAAAGTTCCTGAAACGAAGTAACTGTACCAAACGGGATGAGATTACCAAAAGCAATGAATATGAGAGGTCCCAGTGTTATTCCAAAAGTGAGGCCTCCTCTAAACTTTATAATACCAATCCACATCAACCCAATGATAATGTTTATTACTATAGCCAGCAGAATGAGACCCAGTAGATTCCAACCACAGTTAGAACCTTTAACACACTGCACACCAAGATATGTGAAATGGTAGCCATCTCTACATTGCCTACACAAAACTTTTCCCTTGTTAAGAACACACTGGTCATCCTCAGCTTTTGGTAAAGCCCTGTACGTGTATGGCTGGACTGACTTGATTAGACATACCTCTGTGTTTTTGCAGAATGGAAAAAAGCAGCTAATAATAACTGGATTGTCCCTACCATCCATCCCATACCAGTAATTAATACGAACACATGCATTACCACTATTTATAGAGTACTGGTATAAAGCTGGATCACAGTCATGACAACCGTGACATGATGAATCATTTGCGTTATAAGTAAAGCCAAGAGAGCAGTTCTTAATGGTCATTGATGCTACTGCTGTTACCTGAGTGCAGAATGCATGCAGCTTCAAAACAGCATCAGTATCAATATAAGTCAAGTTAATATTAGTCCTTATTTGTAGATCAGTCGTTATTGTATTGTTACCTCCTGGTATGATAATTTTAGGCGATCCACTAACAATGAATGGACACGAGTTGAACCCATTGTTCTCTGAGCATGTTACATAGAGCGTTGCTTCACAAATATCATTATTGATGGCATCAAATTTTATTTTTTCTCCAGGGAACACAGTGATGTTTCCAATCTCTAATGCAGAATACACTGCTGTATATTTATCCCCTGAATTGCAATGCTCTATGTCAGCTGGAGGATGAGAACCAAATTCAAAAAGGACCTGATTCCCTTTAGTAATTGCATTATTATTTTCGATGGTAATATTACCAAAATTATCATTAAATAATTCCAAGACGTCTTCACAATATATGTGATGGTGGTACACCAGGTCTATGTAGATAGCTCCTCCATTGGCTGCTGTGTTGTTTAATATTTTGATGTCAGCAGAAGAGGACAAAAAACGAAAAGAGAACTCATCCAGTTGCATTCCTCCTCCATTTTTACCAGTATTATTCACTAGCTCTATCATTCCTCCT